AATTGCGGACCGCACCCAGCGAATCGAAAGACTTAGGCAACAAACTTGCCGGGCACTCGCCGCTGGTCAGCCGTGTTTAATTAAAAGTTCAAGCCAGAAACACGCGAATAGAAATTGAGCCATCAATCGAGGCAAAGACTGGGCAACTTTTAAGCTGCTTTAGCGAGAGAAAAAGAGTAATTAAATCAGATTTCGACTCTTAAGTGAAGAGAAAGGTGCCCGAAAGCAGTAAGAATAATAGTGGAAAACAGGCATTACACAATCCCATTAATCAGATCAATTTAAAGACCCTTCCTTCTGCAACAACAGATCTCTTTTTCGGGCCATTTCAATGTGGTCAAATGGCTCATTACGGCCGACATAAATCAGATCTCGAGGCTGCATCCGACGCTGCCAAACGAGGTGGCAATTAGTGCAATGCTTCGCGCCATTTGTCTAAATTTGGCCATGCTATTGGCGGTTGCCAATTTTATGGCTTCAAATAAGTCGGAGGCAGTGTTGAAATGCCGCCTTGCCGGCCGCCATCTAACGGCTTTTGGGCTGTGTGACACATCGACGCCGCTCCGTCTCTTGGGCCTGGCATTGGTATCATCGGCCCTCGTTAAGGCCCAGAGAGGCATTAAGCAAATGGCGCTTTGCATAAATTAACGCCTTGCCGTGCGGAACCGCTTAATCAATGGAAACAGTCGGCTAGGCCTGATCTCTTTAACTCAGACCTAGCCTTACCGCACACCGTGCCGTGTTACTTATAGGCCATAAATATTCAACATTTAGATGCATACGACACTTTTATTGGTTTTAAATGCCCAGCGAGCATCTCTCAAGCAGCGACATTCAAATAAAATTGATAATAAAATGCCTCGCGCTGATCTTCAGCAAGTTGTCTCAAAGCGAGATGCTTATTTACCACAGCGCAAAGTGCCGTGTTTTATGGCCGCTTCCGACTGACACGAAAGTCAAGTTGCTCATCAGCCGCATTTAACGGCTGAGAAGTTGTTGGTCGAGTGCACTTTGGGCACATCCAATGAAAAGGCCAAGCAACCTGCCAGCGGCTGGAAATGCTAAGGCTACCATGCAGGCGACACTTGCTTCATGGCTCACAATACCGAGGCTTCTAGGGTATTCTGAGAGTAGCTTCACCTGCCGAACTCATTAACCATCGAGTGGAGCAGCATAAATAAGCCTTTGGAAGCGACAAGCGCCAAGCAAAACAAATCAGGCTTACAGCTAGTTGCATAACAGCGGACCAGTCAAGACTCGGCATTGGCTTGAGCTCCGCCATCGGCCTAAGCCTTAGCTCTAGCTCCGCTTGTACGTCAGAGCGTACAAGTCGTATTGTTTAGTGGAGCAGAAAGTACATTGCACACAGCCTGGCAGCGACACAAACGCAGTAACAGTAACAACAACGAACAGCAAACAATCAGCGGCGGCTGCTGCCAAGTGTGGGTTGTGCACTGTGGCCTACGGGTTGCGGACTGCCCGGTCTAATACAAATGTCATCCGTGCTGACGGCGGGTCTAGGCTCTGGCATGGTCAATTGCCATTGGCACGTGATTGGCTTTCGTTGTGCGCCAGAGCCGTATATCAGTCACTCAGACTCGGTCAATGTAGCTGCCTTGGAGACGCCGACTCCGGACATTTTGCGCGCGTTAATTACACAATTTGTGGAGGCGCCCGGCTCCGTTGCATGCCAAGTAGATGCCCTCCCAGAGCCTTGACACTCTTTCGGACTGCGCAGGAGACGAATCTTAATGCTCCCCAGTAGCTCCAGCTGGGAGGGCGCCTTTCTCCCAGCAGTGGGAGCATCGGAGGCGTTTGGCATGCGCTGCGAATTAGCAATTCATCTACGCTCAATTATAAAGTGTCTATCGGGCGACTGGTTTTTTAAGTACTCGGGGGAGTATTGCAAAAGTGAACGTACAGAGCACGGCGCTTTCATCAAACGGCTAAACACATTGTTTTGCTTGTTACTCGTGCCACTCGTGTCCGGTCAAAAGTGCAGCATAACGGCATTGGCTGCTGGCTTATTACAGAGTCGGTTAGGACTCGCGCGTTACAATTATTTTGTGGGTAAAGCTCGCCCCATTTGTGCCTTTAATTGTGTCTCTCTAGACGGGAGTCTCTGGAGTGATACTCAGCCTCAAGCTGAGATGTTCCAAACACTGGGCTGGGCTGGCAGCTTATGCAATGTTTTCTGTGGCCGGAGGCTTTAGCCTGTCTAATTTATTGGGTATCGTCGTCGGTGAATAAGACAGAGATAGATTCCAGCCAAGTCGGTCGCTCCTCCGTTCGCCTTGGAGCAGCCTTACTTGGCGCTGTTTGTGCAGCATTTAAGCTGCAATAACTTTGATTGCAAAGAATTGATTTCAATTGAATTCAAATTGAGCCCCAATTGTTTGCCGTAATCAGTTTTATTTTTTAGTCTGGTCCCCCACTACAAGTGGGCTTTTTCGGAGGCCCCCAGACTCATTCTGTGTTGAGCAGCGCGCGCTCTTTGAGGTCAGCTCTTATTTGGGTGCAGTTACCTTTGCGAAGCTTATAACGGCACGTTTTTATAATTAAAACTTTTTTGGTCCGCGAATTGTCACCACTTGATGGCTGATTCAGCGCAAATCGCTTTGCGGGCGCACTAAAAGTTTGGGACTCATTTTTTGCGCGCCTTTTGGATGCTGGGTACTGGCGATGTAGATTGCCATAACGGCCATAAATTGCGGGTATTATGCAACCACATGTGCCATTCTTTCTCCGGCCTGCTCGTGGGCCGAGCTGAGCTCTGTTTCTCAATTAACATTCCAGCGTCGAACGCCGGGAAACGAGACAAGTAACGCCGCAACGGGGCCGTTCCCCAATATGCGATAATTCGAGGGGAATAAACTTTGAATGATCCACTCTCGGAAGGTATTAAAACTGAAGTGTTAAAAAGAACTTGGCCAATCGCTGCTGAGTTAACTGTTTGGTATATGCATGCGCATACTAATTGGCATTTCGTAAATGATTTTGGCAATTAGCTATTTTAAGAATATTTTAAGAAGACATTAAGAACTTCCGCGATCTTTCGAGTCCATAAGCAGCAGTCTCTCAGCTATATATATTTATGCATATATATTTTTTAGATATTGAAAGGGTATTAATTAAGATAATTTATTTATAATTAAGGCATATACTAATCACTGAATAATAAAAATCAATAAATATAGCCGAAATTTGTATACCCTTGCAGTTTGCCATAGGATCTTTCATCCAATCAAAAATCGATCATAACTAAGCCAAAAAAGCATCAAATTCAATTCGGAAAGCTTTGCTGTGCTAGTTTTTTCCAGATAAACAAATCTGCTTACTAAATTTCACATTTTAAGATATTACAATTTTTGCTACTTTGTTCTGTGACAATTGAACCATTTTAAGACCCCAAAAATACAAAAAAAAATTATAAAAAATGTTTTTCTGCCAAACATGGCTAGATCGACTCCGCTTTTTGTGCTGATCAAGAATATATATGATTTATAGGGTCGGAAACGACTCCTTCGCTGACAAAAATCATAAAACCACTCAAGAAGATCTGAAATATTCACACTCTTTATATGAATATTTCTATATATTTTAAATGGTAATTTGTTTATAAAAAATAATCATAACTAAGCCAAAAAAGCATCAAATTCAGTTCGGAAAGCTTTTCTGTGCTAGTTTTTCCCAGATAAACAAATCTGCTTACTAAATTTCACATTTTAAGATATTAAAATTTTTGCAACTTTTTACTGTGACAATTGAACCATTTTAAGACCTCAAAAATACAAAATAAAATTAGGAAAAATGTTTTTCTTCTACACATGGCTAAATCGACTCCGCTTTTTGTGCTGACCAAGAATATATATGGTTTATAGGGTCGGAAACGACTCCTTCACCGACTAAAATTATAAAAACCCCTCAAGAAGATCTTAAATATTCACTGTCTTTAAATGAATATTTTTATATATTTTAAATGGTAATTTTTGTATAAAAAATAATCATAACTAAGCCAAAAAAGCATCAAATTCAATTCGGAAAGCTTTTCTGTGCTAGTTTTTTCTAGGGTAACAAAACTGCATACAAAATTTTTAATTTTAAAAAATTTAAATTTTAGGCAATTTTTGCAAATTTTAATGATGTCACCCCTTACATTTTTTTGCAAAAATGGCTAAAAAATAAATTTCTTCCAAACAAAGCTAGAAAGAAGCGCCTGTTTATGCTGATCAAGAATATATATGGTTTATAGGGTCGGAAGCGACTCCTTCACCGACTAAAATCATAAAAACCCCTCAAGAAGATCTTAAATATTCACTGTCTTTAAATGAATATTTTTATATATTTTAAATGGTAATTATTGTATAAAAAATAATCATAACTACGCCAAGAAAGCTTCAAATTTAATTCGGAAAGTTTTTCTGTGCTAGTTTTTTCCAGATAAACAAATCTGCATACTAATTTTTACATTTTAAGATATTACAATTTTTGCAAATTTTTTCTGTGACAATGAACCATTTTAAGACCTCAAAAATACAAAAAGAAATTATGCAAAATGTTTTTCTTCTAAACATGGCTAGGTCGACTCCGTTTTTTGTGCTGATCAAGAATATATATATGATTTATAGAGTCGGAAACGACTCCTTCACTATATAACACACTTTTGACTAAAATTTTAATAATATGCAAGGGTATAAAAATTGCCCATTGGCATTTGGTTAAGAGTTTAAGAAGGTCAAGCAAAGCCACAACAATGATCAGCAGAAACTCGGCAATTCAACAAGACATTCACGTTTGCTAGTGTAGAAAAAATCTATGAAAAGTGCAAATTAAACCGTGACAGCCTATGACCGAGATGTTGCAACTTCAATCAGCGAAAGATATTAGGGTCCGATACGATGTGTCAGCTTTTGGCAGCTTAAAGATCTATACATTAATTATTACCTTACCGAATTATTACCTTGAATGCCTAATAATTCTTCCTCTACTCTTCCTTTTAGGACCAACAGAGGCACAGAGCAAACGAGCCTCACGCATCACCAGCTCTCGCAGCTTCGGCACCAACGTCAAGCCCACCAGCTCCAATGGCCTTAGCTTCGACTGCCCCGAGGAGTTCGGCTACTATCCGCATCCCACGGACTGCACCCAGTACTATGTGTGCGTCTTCGGCGGCGCTCTGCTCGAGAGCTGCACCGGCGGTCTGATGTACTCGCACGAGCTCCAGACCTGCGACTGGCCCCGCAACGTGGGCTGCGAGCTGGTGGATACTTCCTCGGAGCGTGGACCAGCGCGCAGCCAGGGCCAGAGCCAGGCACAGCAGCAGCAACAGCATGTGCCCAGCCGAGTGCGCTTCGGGGCGGCTTTTAGCAGCCCGGCCGGCACTCCGAAGGCACCCACGGTGGCGCCTCAGTACCACCGATCGCCGCCGCAGGTGATCCAGGCACAGGTGCACAACATCCCGCCGCCGCCGCCACCAGAGCTGCGTGTGCCACCCAATCCAGTGATAACGTCTCGAGGGCAGCCAAAGCCGCTGCTCGACTCCCAGGAGGACATAGCGAAGGTTGGTCTAAAATGTTTATTGGTAGAAAGATAGGTAAACTTTGGAACTAGTTGGTCAGTTCCAATCATAGACTAATTAATGCGACTTTGTAAGGAAATTAATTTATGAAACTTCAAACTGGTTTTCGCTAAGAACAACTTGTGGCCTTAATGACTTTTTTTCGGTTAAAATAATCCCCCAAATCGATAAAAATAACTTCCTAGTTTTCGGGCTTTCGATTTATATTAATCATTGTTATCTTCAGCTGTACGCCGATGCTCAGGAGACGCTGCCGCCCGTGGAGGAGGAGGAGTCCGATCGACAGCAGCGAGTGTACCGCGGCCAACCCAGTACCGTTAGTCAGGTGCAGCGCGATCGCGACGGAATCATCCACCAGGCCAGTATCAATGCCATCCCGCAAGCGGGCAAGATCGGATCGTACGCCTTTGGAACGGCCTACAGGTAAGCGGTCACCCACATAGCGTCATTGCAAAGTAGCTAGCTCTCAGCTCTCATTAATCGTTGCTTTCGAATCGATGCCACCTACCACCTCTGATGCTAAATCAAGTCAAAATTCTATGCAACTCATCGTATTCCATGCTCTTTTTTCTCATGCAACGCATACTGCACTATCTCTAAATCTTGCTCCAATTGACACCGACACAACACACACTCCGACGCGTACCCAAACCCGGACCCGACAACCGGACCGTTAAACCGCTTTTGGATAAAACTGTACGCAAACAGCGAAAGCTCAGACGAAGACCAGACGCTCGAATACAAACTGTCCCACAACCGACTCCGCCGGGACCTCGCCGGAGTCACGGTGCTGGAAAGTTTGCCCACAAAACGGACAGACACCGAGAATCCAAACGATTCAAATACGTCCAGCGAAGAAGTAGTGGAGCCCGAGGGCTCCAAAATGTCTCCGATAAACAGTGAGGCCTCCAACAGCTCCAACAACTCACAAGAACGCTTCGAGGACGCGGCGCCAGCCGTCACCAAGCCCCAGAAATACTCCTCCAAGATTAGTCAGCCAAAGGGCGATCCCACCATGGAGTTTGATTACGAACAGGAAGCGGATGAAGAGGCATCTGGAGACGGGGAGGATGCGGCCACGGGCGAGTCAAAGAGGCGTCCCCGGCAGTTGAGGCCCATCTCACACACGTCCTCCAAGTGGCCGGGACAAAACTACCGCGCTATTGACGCACCTCCTCCGCCGCAGACGTACTCGCAGCAACAGACGGGCTTCAGTTTCGGCAGCTACAATCCCTACCTCACGCCGCCCAACCACGCCCACAGTCCACCGGCCTACAGCAACAGCCAGAACTACAATCAGCTGAGTCCCGGCTACCAAGCCTACTTGCACCAGCAGCAGCAGGTGGTTCCGGCGGGTCCGCATCCCCAGCAGAAGCCCAAGGTCGTCTACACAGGCTACAACCTTTCGCTGCCTCCGCCTCCGCTGGAGGACGACTTCCGGCCCATTGCAGGCAACTACTACGGTGCAGCAGGACCGGGTCCGAGCAGTCCGCGACCCCTCAACTCCCAGCAGCAGCAGCACTCGAGTCCTGGCGACTTGCTCCCCTATCTCATCCAGCAGCTAAAGGAGCTCAAGGAGCGGCGCAAGCACCTGCAAGCGGAGAACTTTGCCTACTTCCATCTGGACAACCAGCCAGTAAGCCCGGCCTCGCCTTCCGGCGGCACATCGCTGCCCGCTGCACCCAGCACCACAGCGCAAACCCCCTTCAACCACTATTCGCCTGTTGATCCCTCGAAGCCCGCCCAGCTGGTGACCCCGAACGGTCAGTACAGCACCATGGGCGGATTCTTTAATAACCAGCAAACGGACCAGAGCTCCTATACGTCCTATCCCGGCAAGCTGGTCTCCCAGTACAGCATAGGCTCGGCCGACGGTCAGCGCGGCAGCACCACGGAGAGTAACTACTTCCAGTACAACATTGTGGCCAACCAGAAGATGAAGGGCGTCTTCAGCACCGTTCAGCCGAGCCACAACCAGATCGGGCACGCCCCCGTAAAGGTGCGGCCCCCGGTCACTCCCCTGCAGGTGACGCAGAGCATCAACGTGGTATCGGCACCCAATCTGGCGTACAACAGACCAAACAGCCTGCAGCAGGTGCCGTTCCGCGACTTCTCCCACCTGCCAGTGGGCATCAGTTACGCCAGCAACAGCAGCCTGCCAGAGTCCTACCAGACCTTCACGAAATCTGTAAGCTCCACAATGGCCCCGGCGACAAGCACAACGACAACCACGCCAAAGTCTCAGCTGACCAATTTCCAGTTTAACATCCACGAATTCATGGCCAACCTCAAGTCCAGCGACCTGGCCAGTGTCAATCCGGCCATAAACCCATTGATTAAGTACTTCAAGCAGGTCAGCAGCGACGGAAACGGGAACGGGAGCCTGCGCAACGCTCTGATATTCCGTCGTCCCGTTGCGGCCAGCACGAGTTCGACCAGCAGCCCGAGTACGACCACCCAGATGATTCCCACCACGACGAGCCCATTGGTGCAAAAGAGCCGCCTCAGAACGAAGCCAACAGTGCCCACGCCTTCCACTCCGACCACGACAAGAGCTCTCAAGGGATACGAGAGCTTCATCAAGGGCATACAGAGCCAACTCAACAAGCAGGCCTCCTCCAGTCAAAGCCCCCCCGCCAGCAGCAGTACTCCGAGAGTGACGACCACGCCGAGAACCACGACCGAAGAGAGCATCGACTATTACGACGAGGACTACGAAGTGGATGAGGATATTTTGCCGCCCTCGCAAATGCCGCCCTACATGCCCATGTCAGAGACAATGGCCCCTCCCCGCCCACAAATGGCCACAGTTGCTCCCATCACCGAGTCCCCGGGAAAGGCGCGACCCAACTTCCAGACCGGCTTTCTGGAGGCCACAACGACCCGTCGCCCGTTCCCCAACTTCTCGCAGCTCAACCAGCAGCCAAGTGCAGAGTCTGGCGTGCCGTCATTCATCAACTTTCCCAGCGACATCTTCCAGGAGTTGAAGCAGCGCTTGCCCCAGCTGCCAGAGGCCAGCACGCCCCCACCCATCACTCGAGTCACTGCTCCACGCCCAAGCACGCGTCCGACCTCCAATCCCAACTCGATTACCTCCAGCACGACGCCGTCGTCAACGACGCGAGTGCGCTACACAACGCGTCCGCGTACGCGAGGACAGCAAAAGTGGATGACGATGGCCCCAGCCAGCCAGGACTCAAGGAACGACACCGACAGTAGCCCCGTAGCCGTGGCAAGCAAGCACAGTAACCTGGGCGGCCTGCAGCTGAACTCCATTCATGTGGGCTCTGGCGCGGACAGACACAGGTACCTATAACCGAGCAAGCCGAGGCAATCGCTGCTACTAGCCGTTGCTAGTGGTGCTAGTTACTCTGTGCCGCTACACAAATACACGCAGAAATCAGTGAATACAAGAAACAGCCGATCTATGTACATATACCATAATGGCGACATTACTGCCTATACATACGTCTACCCAGACCCGTAACTAAGCGATCTCACAGATCGAACCTACCAAAGCTGTACAGTTGACTAAACAAGTGTTTTTTGGACGTGGCTACGTTAACGCTAACCCCTAATGCTAACCCTAACTCTAGCTCTAACTGTAACTCTAACCATAAAGCTAACTACGTTTCTCTGCTCCCATCCCCCCTCCGCCTGTCTGTCATTGACTGTTGTTATTTGAATTGAATTGTTTTTGATCTCGTTTTACATTTTTCTCCCCTATTTACGAACATATACATCATCGAACATATATATCTCCTCCTCATACCCATCCATGTCTATTGCTGTGAATTTTTGCCAATGTAAATAATCAACGCTAATTACATGACAACACCACCACCATCACACCTTCTTCGACAACAAATACAACCATAAACAAAATCGAAATCGAAAATAATAAAAACTGCAACGTGTACAGGGTTGAGTCATCCTCACCGTCATCGCTAGGGGCGCCGCCACCTGCTAATATCTTTGTACAGCCCACACCACAAGCTCCATCGCCACAGTTAGAACCCAATCGTAACTACTACAATGCATCCATATTTAATCACGGGGGCGGCTACCAACAACAACAACAATCGCAGCAGCAACAGCAGCAGCAACAACAACAACAACAGCTACAGCCAACACCATTCCAACAAGCGCAATCGCAACCGCAACAACAGCAACATCAGCAGCAGGCACAAGCCCCCCAACAACATCCCTATGATTCATCCTATTATTCTGTTTACGACGACGATATCGATTTATATAGGGACCTCGAGTACCAGCAGCAGCACCAACAGGAGCAGGAGCAGCGACAGCCCCCCAGCGCCCAGCAGTATCAGCCTGCAGTGCGCCAGCAGCAGCAGCAGCAGCAGTCCACCTACCGTCCCCTAGAGCTCTCGGCCACGCCGACTCCGCCCCAGAAGTCTGTCTACGGCAATCAGCCCACTTTGAGCTACAGCACCGACTACGACGATGACCTAAATGCTCAGGTTAGGGTCAAAAGAAATTTAAATATTAATAAAGTCCTAGTTCACTTTTATAATTTTATAACTTAAATAAATCCCCACTTTGATCTCCCTTTGCAGATCGAACAGGATAACGTGTACGATCAGCCCACACGCTCGCCCCAGAGGTAAGTAACATCGACCACAGGCCCAAGCACCGTGTCATAAATCAGGTTGCGATCATCTCGAAGGGAAAGCATCCACCGAAAAAGAAACTCACCCACACAAAAAACAGTCAGCCCTGCAGAGAATCATAATGCAAGTGCACACTGAGGAACCCCTTAGACCACAGACTAGATAGCCTCCTCCTGCCAAGTCAATGTCCACACAATCAGAATCACAATCACCTCCACACACACAGCCACACACTGCATCAAAATTTACACACACCACAGCCAAGTCAATACGTATACACCCAACCACAATGCATTTTCTACCAGGCCGGAGCAGGTGGCTATTCAAAAGCTGGATGCCAGGACCACCCCCTCGAGCGGCTCACCCTCAACGACTCCCGCATCCCGCCCGGATGTCCGCACCTACTACGATACGCTGACCACGCTACCCGATGCCCCGGGCGACTACAGCTACTCCAGTTCAGCGGAGTATGCGTACGGCTCCTCGCCAGAGGACTACGATCAGAGCGAGCGCACTGTGACCCGCGCCCAGTCCTACGCCGAGACGGATGACTATGATGTGATTGCCAATGTCGTTGGTCCCACCAGCAGGAGCTCGACACCGGCTCCGGCGCTCATACGAACAACACAAAACACGAAACAGTCGACCCCGGCGATTGGCAGGAATCCGACCAAGACAACCACACAAACTTTTAAGGTCACAAAGTCCACAACCACAACAACAAGAACAACTCTAACTTCAACTCCAACTACAATAACAACTACACCACAGCCCCCAACGACAACAACAACAACAAAAGTAGCAAGGTATTGTCACCAATTGATAGCGAAATGAGCGCCAAGACACAGGTCTTTCTCTGCCAGTCGCCTTCTATCGCAATCGCCACTAAGTCATTAGCCGGCTTTCAGTGTTATAGTTTAGTTTATATTCCTAAGCTCTCATTCCGCCGCTTGCGATTTTGGCAAACATTATACAGAAAACACACAGCTACACGCCACACTCACAGATAAATTCGGTCAGGGACTATCTTACTGATATCTGCCGGCAGCAATAGGGCATTCCCTGCGATCAGCCATCGATCCAAGACTCTGCTGACTGTTCAAACTATCTATGTTCCCCTGTAACGTGATTAAGTATCTGTATCCATTGCATGACTACTCATAAGATAACTCGCTGGGGGTCTCGCATGAGCATGCATCTTTCGTAATTAGCAGCTAAATATGTGATGATCGAGACAGATAACCCAAATGAATTTCGAAATCTGAGAACCAAAAGGCCAGACAAATAGGACCCGCCCCACACAGCTAGCCCTAAGTTACTAACACCTCTGTGATTACTTATTTAAATACACGTCTCTTCTACAGCTCGAAAGCGCATGCAAATAAGCCATACAAACAACATGTCCCCAACAAGTCAAAGACAACCACCACCACACCACAAGCTCCCAGTACAGCACCTCCCAGTCCCCCCACCACGACCCCTGCCACACCATCTCCGCCGAAACCTCCGGCATATAGCTCCAACCCCTTTCTCAAATCGAAGCTACAGAGCCTGGCCAAGTCGCTGGCTTCCTTTGTGTCGAACAACCAGCCCCAAGGCCCTAGCAGTGCCGTCAGTTACCGCCAGTCTCAGAACCTCACACACTTCCATCGACAGTCCACAGTTCAAGACCCAGTCCCGAATCCAGTCCCAGTCCAAACTCCTCCCCCTGTCCTCCCCCCGCCTTCGACTACGCAAGAGCCTCTGGTGGAGGACAGCCTGAGCAATAGCCAACTGGAGCACGTTGAGACGGTCTTCGATGAGAGCCAAAACATTAACGTTCAGACGGCCGAAGTGCCCAGGAGTCGCTCCTTTGAAACGAGCACCTCGCCCAAGTTCCTGGACTTTATCAATGCCGCCGCCTACGGCACCAGTCCGCGTGGCAATCTGCTGCATTCGGCGCCAGAGAAGCCCTTGAAGACGGCGAGCAGGGAATCAATTCCATATAAGGGCCATGTTTTTGAGTCAAGTGCAGCGGAGCCGGAACAGCGCAAGCGCATTCAGACCTACATCACCTCTGATGTGGCGCCTCAGAGTTTCAGGATCCCGCCAAGCGACGGAGTCACAACGGCGTCGGAGGATATGACCAGCGCTAGTACCACGCGCCCAAATAAACCCATTCAATATAGTCTGCAAAGTGGATCGAGTGGCTTCAGCTTGCGCGTAGAGCAGAGCCAAGGCGAGGCCAACAACTCTGAGCCATCTCTCGGCGTTGTGGAGAAAAAACAGCCAGTTAGTACCACCAGCGCTCCAAGACCTACTCCAACAAGCACCCGAGCTGAGCCATCTGAGGATTATGTGGAGATTGTGCCCACGACATATGCTCCTCCGCTGCGCATTTGGCGTAATGGCAGACCCACCATTCAGCAAGCGTTCTACAGGCCAACGACTAGCCCTGCAACTTCGGTTTCGACTTCAAGTACAACTACGCCGGCTCCTTCCACGTCAACAACTGTCACTGTGGAGACCAGTACCTCCCCCAGGACTACCACCACACCGAAGGCTCAGGGCCCGCCTAGCACCGAGCGTTATATGGCACCGGCGGCGGGCCAGAGCTTCACCGCCCGCGCCAGTTTCCTAAGGGACAGTCTGAACCGGGTGACTGCCAACCCGGCGATGCGCTTTGTCTCTCCGTACAAGAGTCTGGAGAACTTGCTGCAGGAGGACCGCCAGCATCAGCATCACCAATTGCGGACGACATCTAGACCGCGGTACACCAACGCAGCCGCTTTTTCACCCTTCCTCCAGCAGACAACTGCCAAGCCGCCGAAAAATCTCTTTATGACCGCCTCTGGCAGGAACACCAGTCAGGACGTTCTGGCCACAATGGCAACAGGAAACGCCCGTAATTTCAGTGTAAGCGACGCCATCCTCAGCACATTCAGTCCACAGCGACCAGCACCGAGCATGCTGCGAACCACTACCAGTACAACCACGTCCACCACGACCACCGAGCCTCCGCCGCCAGAAGTGACAACCATTGGAAGCAGCACAACAACTGCTTTCGCAGTGGTCGCCTCTTCTCCCATCCGCGTTTCGCCATCTGGGGTGCGTCCACGTGGCCGCTCCCGCTACACGGTAGCCACTCTGAACAGTCTGGTGGACAGCGAGGACGAACCCACGACTTATGCGCCCAGGTTTAAGCTGCCAAGCGGATACGACACAAGCCCGTACCAGAAGCGCAAGCCCCTTCGCGTCCGAGTTATTAGTAACCACCAAAGGACCGTTCTTGGGGCGCCCACTGCGAAGCCGCAGGAAAAGTACGAAGCCTACAAGGCTGCTTTGCAGGCCAAGGACTCCTCCATTTACGGCGCGCCAAGTGTTTCGGCCAAGTCGCTGAAACGTAAGCCTATAGAGAACGAAGCCAGCATTCCGGACGAGCCGCATGCCGAGGCTTTGATCAGCCAGCACCCGTTGGAGGCCAGGCAGCAGAACAGCTTAGAAGAGGCCGGCACGGCGACGGCGTCCAGCTCCACCGAGCACGTCGTGGCCATAACAGATCGCCCAACTGTAAAGTTTCTTTACTCCAATAAATATCGCCAGCAGACGGCAGAACGCACCCTGGCGGAGAGTCTTCAGAACGCTGGCTACATCGCAGCCTCGAACGGACGGGCCCAAAAGTTCCGATCGGCCAACGTGATCGAGCAGCTCAGGCAGTTCCTCGCCGGCAGCGACAGCAGCAGCAATAGCGACGAGAGCGGCACGTCCCAGTTCGTGGACGAGTATTCCCTGCCCGAGATAAAGGCGGCTGTCGATGAGATTAAGCAGCTATACTTGCCAACCGACCGACCATCCACGAAATCGAGCACGACGCCGCGTCCTACCACTACGCCTATTCCTCCACCCCCTCCGCCCTCACCCCGACCCACCGCCACCGGCTCTGTGGCAGCTCCTCAGCGACCAGTGGCCAGCCAATCCAAAGCGAACTCCTTTTCATCCACTCTTACCGATCCCACTACAACCGCAAGAACCTCTCAGAGCTCCCCCGATGTTAGTACCGCTAGAAGCCCCACAGTCTCACCAGTTTCCCTCAACCCGAACCCAAACCCGAACCCGAATCCAAACCCTACCCCTGCCACCGCCACAGCTACACCTTCCATGTTTGCACCGCCCACTGCGCGCGCGTCGAGGGTAAACAGTGTGATAAAGTCGTCGATTGCCGCCGCTGCCGCCCAGGTCGGTCAGTCCGGCGTAGGCCCTAGCCCTGCCGCCTATCAGCCGCAGGTGGCGCCGGGCAAGGCCCACAAATTCCAATTCGGCTTCGCCCCCAACAATAAGAATCAGCACCAACAGCAAGCCAGCAGCAGCAACCCCAATGGCGCCGCAGCCTCAGCTTCAGCCACGGTGAAGTGCTCTGACAGCACGCCGAACGCCAAATGCAACGAGATCCCTTCAAGGTATAGATACCCGTACAGATTCAGATCCTCTAAGCTCGGTCGCTCCCAGCCATCACTCTACTCTCCGTATCCGTATCGCTCTCTCTCTACTATGTTACTTCTCTTTAGCATCACCGTAATTTCGTTTCGAACACAACCAACCATAGCCATAGCCCCCACTGTACTGTATCTCGTACTGCTCCAAAGCTTTCTCTAGTCTCTCATTTTACCACCCACATACCCACCCACCTGTAATCCACGTATCTAGTCACTCCCACTAGGATGGTGTTGATTGTCGGCTTACTACAACGCCCACCGAACAGTATTCGTTCGTAATCTCCACTCTCACTTGAAAATCCCTTCGCTGGCATACTGGCATACTGGCATAGTACAAGGACACACATAAGTGCATACTAAATTCTAGCTGCTGTGTAAAATGTTGCTATAGACTCTGGTATTACCAAACCGTAGACGTTCGTTAACCGATCTAAATTATAAATAAATTGTATTTGAACCGGTGGTGGCCCGTAAAAGTTCTAAAAGTAAATCCCCACAAACTTTCCTTGATCTATATACTCGTTTTTTTCTTTGATTAAAAGTACAAACCGATTGGCGAAATTGAAGTACTGATACTAGCTGTGAGAACTAAGAAGTTTGAGAGGACAAAGCAGACTCAAAGATCCAACAATTAATGCAAAATTTCAGACACTTTTGAAGAACACCTTTTGGAATTGGGCTCAGAACGAAAGCGATTTAAAGACGAAGGCAATTGGAACCAATTATATAAGCACATTTTACCGAGCCTAAAATTAGTAGATGCTTTTGTGTCCCAGACTAAAGCATTATGCTGGTGATAATCGGCCAGAGATTTGTTAGAAATTAACAGGGAATCACAGCTGTCCTGATAAAGCTGTAAACCTTCTCTCAGTGTACTATCCATTGTAAATCTTTCGTCTTCTTCTTAGTGTTCCTGCGGTCTTAACACAAAATTATACACATTATTCGTCTTTTCTCAGCCTGTCAGTCACCGTCAGTCAAGTCAAGTCCCAACACGTGACACACATAAGTATGCTTTAAAACTTTTTGGTTCTCACTGTACAAAAATTGAAAAAAATTAATTGAAATTGTAGGTGGTTTTTTGGGGGGTGAAGGTACTATCACTATTATTATTACTTTTACTTTTACTACTACTATTATTAAGGGAAATCATTGTGAGCGCACCACTAACCACCATTGCGTGATGTGTATAGTATGTAATAATTAATCCTGCATTCATCTGTATCTCTGCCCATTTGTGTAGCACAAACTAGTAAATCTAGTGGCAGCAATTGCAAATTGTATTTGAGTAGAGCCACTCTCTCTCCTTTTACTGACCTCAACCACAGCTATTTTTCCCCAAAGTCCTAAATGAATATATGAAACAAATTGTATTTAGAAACAACAATAGGAACCGGGGCAGTGCTATTTACGCCAACCAGGATCGGGACGTGGTCGCCACACCGAACCGCGGAACGCACCCACCGTAAGCCCTAGGTTTCTTGAGTAACACATGCCGCTGGAATTAAATGAATTCTTCTCTTCAGACGAACCAGGCCCACACTAAAGCCGTCGGGAACCATCGTGTCGAAGGCCCAGGAGTTCGTCGACATATACCGATACCCGCCGAGTCGGCCGGACCCCATTTACCCGCAGCCCACGCCCGACAAGACGGCTGCCAAGTGCCGCAAGGATGTGTGCCTACTGCCGGACTGTTACTGCGGAGGCAGAGACATACCTGGTAAGTGAGAGAGCCCGACCAAATAGACATAGTTTTAATGCAGAAGGTGGCCGAAATAAATGAAATGTAGGGGGGCTGAGCGCCGCGGAGACGCCACAAATCGTGCTGATGACATTTGATGATGCTGTCAACACCATAAACATCGACCTCTACCACGAACTCTTTGATAACAAGTCCCGGAAGAATCCCAACGGCTGCCCCTGGCGCGGCACCTTTTACCTGTCGCACGAATGGACAGACTACGGCATGGTACAGGACCTGTATTCTGAGGGGCATGAAATGGCCTCCCATACCGTTTCGTAAGTTGTGCCGCATCAGTCGAGCCACAGCCTGGCCATCATCATCTGCATAAGTTTTCCACTCGCTTCTGTCTATGTTTATCCTGGTTAAAAGTCTGAGTCGACCTCTGCCTGCCTCTATTCTCTCGACATGTTTTCATCCACATTCCCCATCTGCATTGCTAGGCGATCTGCCGGTCGAGAGCATCCCCCAAATCGTTCTCTTGACCTTTGACGACTCAGTAAACGACTTGAACAAGCAGTTGTACACGGACCTCTTTGAGAAGGGTCGTGTCAACCCCAACGGATGCCCAATCACCGCCACCTTCTACGTCTCCCACGAGTGGACTGACTACAGTCAGGTGCAGAACCTGTACGCCGATGGACACGAAATGGCCTCCCATACAGTTTCGTAAGTAGATGGAGCTCGCCTCGAGATCACGATCCCCGACACAGAAACACAGCAATGACAACAACTAGAAGCAGCACCAAGTCACAGTAGTCAAGTAGCTAGTTAAATCGCCCTCCTCACTGCACTTACGCACCACTTAGGTACCCTAACCCACATCCAAATCAAAATCCATTGCTGAATTAACAGAGACAAAATCGAGAATCGCGTATACTAACCACATTCGTCTACAGTCACAGCTTTGGCGAGCAGTTCTCGCAGAAAAAGTGGACCCGTGAAATAGCAGGACAGCGGGAGATCCTGTCCGCATACGGCGGTGTGAAGCTGTCGGACGTGCGGGGCATGCGCGCACCCTTCCTTTCCGTGGGCGGCAATAAGATGTACAAGATGCTGTACGACTCGAACTTCACCTACGACTCCTCCATGCCCGTCTACGAGAACCGTCCCCCCTCGTGGCCCTACACCCTTGACTACAAGATCTTCCACGACTGCATGATTCCGCCCTGTCCCACCCGATCCTATCCAGGTGTCTGGCAAGTGCCCATGGTCATGTGGCAGGACCTGAATGGGGGTCGTTGTTCAATGGGCGACGCCTGCTCGAACCCCAGCGACGCCGATGGAGTGACCAAAATGATTATGAAAAACTTTGAGCGACATTATACCACAAACAGGTGAGCTCAAGCCTGAGCCCTACATATATGAGAAGTCCTCCTAAACCCAGCACATCTATATTTCATTCACAGAGCACCTTTCGGCCTGTTCTATCACGCCGCCTGGTTCACGCAGCCCCACCACAAGGAGGGATTCATCAAGTTCCTTGACGCCATCAATGCCATGCAGGATGTGTGGATTGTAACCAACTGGCAGGCGCTGCAGTGGGTAAGGGACCCCACGCCGACGTCCCGCATAAACTCCTTCCAGCCATTCCAGTGCGATTACTCGGTGAGTGAATTACAAAGTGGATTTGGAAAGCAGATTGTAACTTCTACTAATTTCCAACTAGGATCGGCCCAAGCGCTGCAACAACCCCAAGGTGTGCAATCTGTGGCACAAGTCCGGCGTCCGCTACATGAAAACGTGCCAGCCCTGTCCCGACATTTATCCCTGGACTGGTAAATCCGGAATCCGATCCTCCCGCATAGACAACGAAAATGTTGAGGAGCCTGCGGCGTAAACTAGAGTCTCGCCTGGACCTTCAGTGGATTAAGACCTTAGGCTAGCAGCAGTGGGCATTGGGACCACAATGCAGTCCCAGATGCTGAACAGTAGCAGCCACTAAATTCATTGTAGCTCGAAATACGGAATTCACTCGTTAAATGTTAAAAATTCCACGTACTTTAATACTTTAGCTAATTTTTCAAGGAACTTGAAGGACAGCAACGATCATAGTTAATTTCTTTTGGAGCATGTTACCACAAATTATTTATTCCCTCTTGTAAACGTATAGCTATCAATACCTATATCTGTACATTCCTATAGATTGCTGCGCATACGGATATTCTTGTAGTTGCACACGCAATCCCAGCAATTGAAGACGTAGAGCAAGGCAATTAGGCGTAAGATTGTAGACTTTTAAGTACTAATAAATTGCGTTTTGGTGCACCGAGTCCAACGATGGGAGGATTTGGCTGCACCAATATCCAAGGTTTCCACGGAACGCATTTAGAGCTAGGCTAATAATATTCGTGTTTAACTTGTGATAAAGAGTTACAGCTGAATTTATGTATTATTAAATGTGCACAACCGGCGCCTTTTCGAGACAACATTTTCCCGTTTTCCACACACACGTACTATCTATATTGTAAAGTTCAAGCCCAAGTTGGATTATTCCCCTGGAACTGGGTGCCTTCAAATAGACAAGTTCTGACTCACCTCTCAATATTCTCTGCTTAAAATCGAAATAAAACGAAGAAAAATTAAAAATAAAAAACCCTTAGCTTCAGAACATTTAGCTTAGACTGGAATGCGCAAGGGATTCCCCATATCCTCGTAATAGAAATACCCATCGGTATCCGAGGGAAGTCAGCAAAGACCAGGAGCCACGTATAGGTAGATAATTAGGTTGAACAATTGCCAATACTTAGCCGTTCTTCAGAAAAAAACAAAAAAACAGTAGGCAATAAACAATAATCGGTTCATTGAAACGACGTGCAAGCAAACCTATCAAGTGTAGTTTACCATCTAAGAATAAATAAATATACGAAAGTATTAAGGGGATTCGAAATGCAATAGTTAGAGACGATAATCGATTAGGAGAAGCATCATATACTATAAGGACATGTAACAATAGAGCTAAGCCATGCACAACAGGGGCAACGACGTAAGAGAAATTTCAAGAAACGAGTGAATTAAGTATTTTCTGCTAATGATTGTACAAAACTATACCTATGTATGAGAGTGTACGTGTGTTTGTAATAAAATGTACCATTTAAAATAACATTACTACGTGTAATTATTCAAAAGGGGGTAAGGCTAAGCTGCAAGGGAAAGCTGCTGCCTACTCAGAGAGAGAGCAGTTTGCTAGAAGGAGATATGAAATATTGGACTTCGTTTGCTAGAAAGAGAAAGTAAATAGCTTCCACAAAGAGATCAGATCTACATAATGGGTTCCCATGTACCAAAATGTTTTAGAAAGTCTTTCCCCCCGAACCCTCTTGATAAGAAATCATTTGTTTTGTAATTTTTGAAATTTATTTTCTTTTTATATTTATTTATTTATCATCAAATATCAATAATTGATGCTCGCTCGGTTGTTGTTGTTGTTATCTGGTGTGTTGCGGTTGCTTCCTCGGTTATTGTTGTTCTGCAGTTCCACATATTATAATTTTAATTAAGATTTATACTTACAAGATAAGTGTATGCAATATATGGTTGTTTTTGTCTCTTTTTTTAGTGTGTGTGTATGTTTTGCTTTTTTTAGGTCTCTCTCTCGTTGAGTGCAAAAATAAAATAAGAAGAAAAAACCTTAATCGTCGTTCATAATTAGTCGCAGCATCTTGTACGTGTCGTCTCAGCTCAATTACACATTAAAAATTGATTTAATTAAAAAGTTATATATATTTTTGTCGCTCAAGTGTGTGTATAAGGGAGTTTCTGATTAAAAAAACACATACAATTGGGACACTTTTTACTAATTACAAAATTAAAAATTATACAAATTACACGCAGCTTGCCAGGGGAGGACACACAGAGACAGGACAGAGAGAGTAAATACAACATAGTGAGGAGGTTATGAGAGAATACATAATGTGTGTGTGTGCCTTCCTTAATATATGTTTGTATATGTTTAGGTGTATATTAAAAACGTTAAGCAATGCGAGAGCCATTTTGTAAAGATTATATAAATTATGTACAGGTATCGTATATATTAAGAGACGTTGTATCTGTGTGTGTGTGTGGAAACCCAATTAGTATCTTCCGTGTCTCTATTATTAAAACATTTCTTGTGGTTGCAATAATTTAAACGATTAAGCCGGATGCAGCAGCAATCCTTCCTCAATTATTCTCGGTTACAATTAAATTATAAGCGCTTTCTTTAAATTATGTTTCGTAATTTTATAAATATATTCTTCAGGGGCAGGAAAAGTGATGTGAAAACGAGTTCCAGATTTTAAGCAGCAGTTCTGAAACTCGTTAACCCAGATCATCAACGAAGGCAGCACCTATCCTGCCTCCCCACAGGGCCAGACGTTTGTTGCAGCAGGTGTCCAAGCCCAGCAGAAGGGGATGGTGTGCGTTCGCTGCCCAGTTCTCCTCTCTCCTCGCCCCCTCGCTCTCTATTTATATATATAGTTTAGTTTATATATCATGATTCCTTAGACTTTACACAACTTTAAGCTTAAGGGTTCCTTCCAACTCCTAGTGGTAACAGTTTCGCCTCGACCGCGTTTGCATCTTGATCATCTTCTGCATATTTTCCTTTATCTTCACCTCTTTGTTTTTTCTTTTGTTATTTTCATTGACTTTTTGCTTCGTTTGTTGTCGTCCAGTTGTGGCTCCTCCTCCTCCTGGTTTCAGAGAAGGCGCCGCCGCCTCATCCTGCTAGCGCTGGCGCTCGGATCTGCGCAATACTCATTCATTCCGCTCCTCGGCACCTGACTCGCTGCCAGCCGATAGATTCAGCGTGCTGGCATCCGCCGAGGAGCGAGTGTGGCGAGTCGATCTCAGCTCGCGTCGCTTCTCAGGCGGTTGTCCCTCCACCGCTGAACCAGGTGCCGCTGCTGCCTGCTCGTTGCCCGAGGACCGCGGACGCTTCAGGCGGTTTGAGGAACGACGATTCTCTTCGGCGGCGGCTGCAGCGGCGGCGGCGGCAGCCGCTGAACTCGTTGAGGAACCGCTCAGATTGGCCACTGCCCCGGCTCCCGCGGTGTCCAGATCCTCCACGCTACCGCCATGGCTGCTGCCTGGAGCAGGAGCAGAAGCCGCTGCCGAAGGCTTCTTGAGTATGGGTTGTATGATCAGTTCGTCGGCCTCCTCGTATGGCGGAGGCAGTTTGGCCGCATCTGCCGCATTCGTGATGGTCAGGGAGATGCGCGACTCGGAGCGCTCGGAACGCTCGCTGCTGGTGCTCGCTCCGCTGCTTATCGGCGGCGCTATGGTTATCGTTGTCTGACTTGGCAGATTGGCGGCCAAGCCGGCAGCAGAAGAGCTGCCCGATCCCCCGGAGGCATTCAGCGGCGTCAGGGTTACCTTGTCTTGTTGGTGGTCCCCTCCAGACAGGGGTGCCGGGGTCGAGCTGCTGGAGCTACTTCCGCCCCGCAGACTCTTCTCGATGCTGCTCATGCTGGCTCCCAGGTTGAGAGGCAGTCCGGCAGCCATGGCTGCAGCGGCCAGCTCCTCCTTGGTGGGATGCATTTCACTGCGCGATCGCTTGGACTTTTGCTGCTGCTGCTGCTGGTGCTGTTGCTCGGCATCCAGGGCGGCAGCGTAGGCGGCCGCCGCGGCATTCGCCGAACTGGAGGCGGAAGACGATGCCGAGGACGTGGGTATCAACGAGATGCCCGATCCCAGGCCCAGAGTCTTGGTATAGTAATCCATTTGCTGTTTGAAGGCGTCCTGTTCGCGCTGTCGCTTCGATGAAGAGCTGCTGCCCGACGAACCGCCTCCTCCACTTGATCCTCCGGCTGAGCCTCCTGTGAGTCCCGCCAAACTGGCCAGAGAGCCAGGACCACTCAGCGGCAGGGATCCTCCGGCAGCGGCCATTGCTTGGGCGGCCATTTCGGCCAGGAAGGCCTGTGAAAAGTCACTGGACATGCCCGGGATTTGTGGCAGTTGGGCTGCCGCCGCGGCAGCTGCCGCTGCTGCTGCTGCAGCAGCTGCCGACGCCGATGACGACGATTTGGAGTTCTTGCTGGAGGCTGAGGATGACCCGCCAGCATTGGAGCTGGATGATGTCGAGGGCATTTTGCCCTGCGAGAATGCCTGCAGGGCGGCCAAATCCGTGGGCAGGGCACCGCGTGCGAGGCTCTCGAACCACTTTTGCTGCTCCTTGGCCTGGGCATTCGCCTCGTTCACCTGCTGCTGGCTGCTGCTGCTGCTGCTCCTCTTGCTGCCGCTGCTGGCGGCACTGCTCGAGGAAGCGCCGCCCGCGGTACCCGGCAGCGGTGGCATGCCCAAGGAGCTCATGAGGCGCGTGGCTTGTGCCAAGTCCATGTTGCTCATCCGGCTCAGCGACTCGAGCAAGTGGGGATCCGCACCTGGCATAAGCAGGCTGCTCAACTGCGCCATGTCCGCCGCTGTGGGCGTCGTCTGGGCTTGGCTTCTGCTGCTCGACGACTGCCTACCCCGGCCCGACGATGAGGACGAAGGTGTGGTTACTGTGCTGGCACCGCCGCCGCCCATGCTGGCCATGGCATTCATGAGGCTGGCCGCGGCCGAGGCTGAGGCCGAGGCATTCCTCGACTGGCTCGACTTGGACGACTGCGACTGGTGAGACTTGGACTGCGTGGAGCTGGTGTTGGAGGCAGACGAAGTGGCGCCACCGTTCAGCAGGTTATACTGCTGCGCCAGCTGGTCGTAGGCGGAGCCCAGACCGCTGGAGCCCAGGGAGTACGGATTGAGTCCGCCCAGGCCCATGGGTGGGTACAGCAGCGAGGGATTGGGGAAAAGGAACGGGAAGCCGGCGGCCAGTTGCTGCGATGCAGATGCGGCTGCATTCTTGCCTCCGCCTCCACCGCCGCCGTTACCGCCTCCTCCCGATGATCCGCCACCGCTACTGGCACTTATGGCCGCCGCCAGCTGAGCAGCTTCATTTTGCGCCTGCTGCTGGGCAGCTGCCGCTGCCGCTGCCTGCTGCTGCTGCTGTTGTTGCTGCTGCTGCTGTTGCTTCTTCTTGCTGGCCGAGGAGGATGAGGCGGCCGACGACGACTGCCCTTGACTCTTGCCGGAACCCGCTCCGCCGGCTGAACCCGTCAAACCGCCAAGAGTTGGCCCGGCAGCAGCCATGAGCGCAGCCAGCGACTGGGTGTCCATCCCAGCTAAGTTGCCCAAACCTCCCATGCCCGCCAGACTGGCGAACAGGTTCATGTTGTTCAGGTTGCCGAGTCCCGGGATATTGCCCATGCCGGGCATGCCGCCAAAGGACATGGACAGCAACGGGTTCTTGGGATCGAAGGCAGCCAGTGGATTCTTCGGATCAAAGGCGCCCAGTCCCGGAAGATTGGCCAACAGGCTGGGATTCAGGCCAGCCAGCGAGCCAAATTGTAGGGCCGCCTGATCTAGAGCCGCGGCAGCTGCCGTTTGCTGGTTTCGTGACGACTTCTTTGATGATCCTCCTCCCGCCGGCGACTGAGCGGCGGCGGAAGATTGCTGCTGCTGTTGCTGCTGTTGGGTATGCGACGAGGAGGAGGCGTTACTCGAGTTGGACGAGGGGCGACCGCCATGGGACTTGACCGCCGGCGAACCGTAGCTACTGTCCATGGAAGAGGATGCGGGCTTGGGCGAGGGTGCCGACATGGGATTCTGCATCTGCTCCAGCCACTTGGGATCCACCTCATAGTTGGGATTCTCCGTGAGCCTGAAAGGTGGGTTAAGAGTTAAGCGACTATGCCTACAGGTTGGCTTTCCTAGACTCACCATTGCATGAGGCGCTTGAGCTGCGGCGCCTTGTTGCCGCCCAAACGCTTGCCCGTCTGCTTGTTGATCACGGGCACGGGCTCCTCTCCCGTTAGATTCTGTGGCCCAGCGGCCATTGAGTGTTGCTGCTGCTGCTGTTGTTGCTGCTGCTGTTGTTGTTTCTGCATCTGCGAGGCACTCGAGCTGCTCTGCTGACGATTGGAGCGCCGACTGTTCGAGCCACTTGCTCCACCACCGCCGCCGCCGCCGACGTAGTCAATGCTGAGCTGGTCGCCCAGGGGACTGGTCATGTCCGACAGCCACTTGTTTACCTTTACGTCGTGCGGCGAGTTGGTGGCGGCTGCGGAGGAGAACTTGGGACTGAGCTTCATGGCCTGCTCCATTTCGGCCAGCATATTCTCGTAGGCCTTGCGCTGGGCGGGCGGCAGGAACTGCATCATCTTCTGTTGTTGCTTGAGGAACGTCTGCGGATCGGTGGCCATGGTCTGGGCCAGCAGGGCGTTTAAGCTGTCCTTGGAGGAGAGGCCGCCCATGGCCATGTTCTGCAGGGCGCTCAGGCCGCTGCCGCCGCCGCTGCTGCTGCCGCTGGCCGATGAGCTTCCGCCGGCGCCGGTTCCGCCGCTTTTGGATTCTGCAAAGAAAGATGGAAATAGACACTCGAGATTAGTCAAGAACTCTTTGGGAAGGGCTGCCCGTCCTCGGGCGGCGGGGTTAGTAAAAAGTAAAAGCGCAGAGACTCCAACTCACTTCCGGGCACTGTGGTCACAGTGATGGTGAATGGTTTCTGATTCAATTGCTGCTGGCTCGCCGAGGACTGCAGATTGGCCGGCGTCACCGAGACGCTGGGCGGTATCTGTGGCTTCTTCGACGACGAAGACGACGAGGGCAGCGAGGGATCGGGGAAGGTCTTCTGCTCCTTGGCAGCCGATAAGCCCAGCACAATCTCGTCTAGCTTCTTGCGCTTCTTCTCCTTGCCAATCACGGGTTCTTCGATGGTCTAAAGTAAGGAAAGAAAAGAAAAGAGGAAAAAGAGTGTTAAATCAAAGTTTTCCCATTTTTAACTTTATTGCAAACAAATAAAGTACATTTTTTAAGCTTTACTTACACAATTGTTCTTCTTCATGAGCTTGTTGAGCGTGTCATCCAGCTTGCTCTTGCTGCCGCCCATCGAAGGGAAGGCGGAGCTCAGAGCCGCATGCACACTGGACTTCTTGGAGGGCATGGAGAAGTCCTGCACCTCACTCAAGTCAATGGCTCCGGCACTGGAGGCCGACTTTAGCATCTCCGTCATGTTCATCTTGGGCAGGCTGCTGCGGGTAAAAGGTTTACAGAAATTAATATGACTTCTTGGCCAGCATCTCCTAGCGTGACATGACACCCACCTTGAGGATAAATCCATGGGTGCGCCCATCGAGGGCGGTGGCGTCTTAAGCGCCGGCACAGCTGGCTTGCTAAACTGTCCCGAGGATTGGCGCGACAGCGAGGCATGTTGGTGCGCCGGCGGCGGTTGCATGCCACTCAGGGCAGCCGAAGAAGAGCTGCCGCCGCGTCCGCGACCAGAGGAACCGCCTCCAGTCAAGGCCTCCATATTGGCAATCTCACTCTCCCAGTCCTTGGGAGCCACTGAAAAAGAAAGAAACATTATATATCCCTATTCGATGATCACATTCCCGGCAGCACACTTACTTGTCGAGCTGTTGAGCAAAGCGTGGAGCTTAGCCCTTTCCGTTTCCACATCGATGGCAATGTGTCGCTTGCGCTTCTTGCCCACTCCCGACCCGCCACCGGCATTGGGCACATTTAGGCCACCACCGAGGCCGGCTGACGAGGCCGATGAGACGCCACTTGCCGCACTCAGCGACATACCCGGCAGCAACGAGGACAATGAGGTGGCATTGCCACCGGCTGCGGCTGCTGCCACGGCAGCAGCCACTGCAGCATTGATGCTGTTGGCATCCAAACCGGGCAAAGTGGGTGTGGACTTCGACTGGCTGCCAGCCCCCTGGGAGGCGGCGGAGGAAGATGCCGAACTAGCGGCCACCTGTTGCATCTGCGAAGCCTGCAGATGCTTCGTTACACCCTGATCGGTGGTGATTGTAATTACATCGGGGGTTGTCGAGCGACGCTCCAGGCTGCTCAGATGGGGAATGGACTCATGGAGGGCGATACTCAGGTCTGTGACGCCTGCCTTGCAACCGGCAAAGGCACTGTACTTGATGTCCACCGGCCACTTGCCACCCTCCACACAGGCCACAATGTGGGCAATGCGGCGTTCCAGGGCAAAGTCCTTGAACCAGCGGATCATGCACATCTCCAGCTTGGGCTTCTCCAACTTTTGTTGCTTTACGGCCGCCGGTTGGATGACCTCCAGATCGGGGAAGCGGGCCTTGAGCTCGGCCGCCTGCTTCTTGCACTCCTCCTCGACAGCCTTCTCCTTCTCCTTCATCACCTCGTCGTCATCGGGATCGGTGGGTCCAGCCACCAAATCAAGAATCTCCTGATCGTTGGCTGGCTTTTTCTTGGGAGAAACAACTGTCTCGGCTTCTGATGCTGCTGATTCAGGTTTCTCCTCCTTGTCCTTGCCCTTTGTGTCTGCCTCCTTGGAGTCTTCTTTAGATTCTTCTTCTGGCTTCTCTTCGTCAGTCTTTGTCGCACCCTTGTCTGCTTCGGCTTCCTTTTCCGGGGATTCCTCCGATTTCTCAGTTGACTCCGTCTCTTCCACTTTAGTGGCGGCTTCGTCAACGTCCATTTTAGAGGTCTCTTCGTCAGCAGGAGCAGCTTCTGCTGGCTTCTCCTCTCCCGAAGATTTCTTCTCCTCGGTTTCAGCAGTCGGTTTCTCGGGGGAGACAACTGTGGCTTCCTCGTCCTTCTTTTCGCCATTTTCAGATATGGCTGGCTGCTCCTCCTCAACCTCCATTTTGTCGTCGCTGGTCTTGGGTTCTCCCTCGGCCTCTGAATCAATCTTCTTGTCAGCCTCAGCAGTGGCCAGCACAGGCACTTTGTCGGCTTCAGCTTCATCTTCTTTATCAGAGACTTCGGCTTTGACTTGCTCCTCCTCTTCCTTGACGACCTTGTCCGCCGCCTGCTCTTCAGCTTCAGTTTCAATCTTTGCCGGCTCTTCATTCTCCTCCTGCGACTTCTTCTCGGCATCTTCCGCGTCCTTTTTCTCAGGACTTGCTTCAGCCTTAACCTCATCCTTCAGGGGAGTAGTAGCCGGGGTGGCCTCCTTCTTGATGACACTATCATCGGTCATGAGTTCATCGTCAAGATCTATCACCTCGTTCTTGACTGCTGCAGTCTTCTCTGCTGCTGCTACTGCTGCTGCCTTCTCTGCGGCGGCCGCCTTTTCAGCTGCTGCCAACTTCTCTGCCTTTTCGGCATTGAAAGCTTCCAGCTTGATGGTACGCTGGATTTGTGCCTCCAGTTCGCGGATGAAACGCCTCTCCGATTCGCCAAAACTAAAGTTTGGATCGTTGAAGATGAAGGTTTCAGAGCGATAGAGTCCGTGCTTGAGGACAGCTGTGATTAGTTCCTTGTCGTGGCGTCCTGCCTCCCACCAGTCGGGAGTATCCGCATTCATGGTGCACAGTTTGAGGCGCTCCTCAAGGTGGGGATTTCGTGCCACTTCCCTCAGCTTGGCCAACAATTCCAGGCGATCCAATATGAGCTTGGCGTGCTCCTTATCAATCTCCTCAATGATTCCCTCTAGACCGCGCTCTGACTCCGCAAGCTTCATGCCCGCCTGTCGCTTGCACATGGCCACAAAGACCTTGTAGTAGTCTGTCAAGGTTTCGTCGCTCTTTCGCTCCAAGTGAGCCATCTGCTTGAACTTGGTCCAGTCGGGACTGCCGCCGCCGCCAGAGACACCGCCCATGGTGGACTGATGCAAGTCAATGCCGTAGCCAGTGAGAACACGGAGGAATTCGTACTCCTCGCGACGATTCCACTTCTTGGGTATGAGCTGCAGGCGCTGGGACTCGCGCTCCTTGGCCGCCAGCTCCATCTTGCCCTGCCGCTCCATTTTCTGCAAGAAGAGCGAATAAATTGGATGGCAAATTAGTAAAAAATATAAATAATTGGATTAGCGAAAGTTTATCTTTTGATGAAGGTGTCAATTGATAGTTATTTGTGTTTGGCTAGGTGAGACATCATCATTGTACATATATGTTTCGTATTAGTGTTGATTGGAGATTGGGATTCGAATAGGTAGATAACTTTATAGGTCTCTTGTAAGTCACCCATTTACGAAATATTAAAATACTTTACTTGCTACTACATATGCATGACTCAATAGATTACGCTGATGCCTGATCCGTTCACAATAACAATTCCCAGTAAATTAACTTTAAGACCAGAGATAAGATAATTCCAACAAACTACGTCGCACACCAAGTGCTTTTTTTTTTTATCAATAGTACTCCAAAAAACAATATAAGATATTATAGGAAAAAACATGAAATAGGTCAGTTAATATATAGTTAAGGGACCTTCAGCTACCTATGATATTAGGCATTTTAACCATGTTTTTCCTCAACTAAAAATCCAATCTCTACAATTTCTTGATTGACTCTCTTTATCGTCAATGTTTATCTATTAATACAGACAAGTTATCACATAGAATTAGTTAAAAACAATTGACTGAGAGCTGCACACCAATTGTCCCTATTTTCCTCCCTGGACATCCCCCTTGAGTACATAGCTATATATATATGTATGTGTATACCATTTCCACAATAAGTACATGAACCCGGGGAGAGAGAACACCCCTTTGGGCGATGGACGACGATGTGTGATTGTGTGTGCATTTTGCAAGTGCAAATTCATTACGAATATTTACACAATTTTGTGCTGGGAAAAAAGAATTAAAAAGCGTCCACCAGGAGTAACAGCAGCACCCTTCCCTGCTGGAGCGTAATGCGAGACTCGAAACAGGGGGTGGGATGGATGGGATCACCCTCGTGGCATGGTTGGTGGTGACGCTGCTGCAGGGGTGGTGGCCTCATCACCATCACCATCATCATCATCTCCTCTTTGTGTACGTAAGTCAGACGACTGACTGACTGACTATTACAGCCTTCCGAATTACAAACGAATTTTTGCGAAACGAAAGACAAAATGCGAATGGCGAAAGCAAAATGAAACGACGAGGGGGGGCGAGACGAGACAATGGCGTGTAGCAAAGAGAGCGGCGAGAGCAGAACAACTGGAACTGGAAATACAATAAAATCATAATAATAAAAGTAAAAAATCCATTTTACACCCCTAATAACGCTCCCGAGGACAGAGGCCAAAGGGCGGACAGGAGTCCTTGTTGGCGGCTGGTGGGAAATAGAGACACGGCGCAGCAATGAGCACGGGGCACAAGTACACGCCGCACTAAGCAAATGGCTACGAACCCCGGACAAGGAGGCGCACGAAACGGAGACGGAGACAAACAAATGAATCCAGTGAGACCAATTGCACGCGCCGCAGCTAAAAAGGACCTCCTCCGAAACACCCAAATAGCCACCCACATCCCACTTCACACACTCGTGTGTGTGTCTGTTCTCTTCTCCGTGCCCCGTTTTGTACATGTTTGTTTGCTTGCTTGCTTGTATACTCTCCTACAGTTAGTTATGATAATAATAATGGGGGCCAAGAAGAAGGAGGAAGAATAGGAGGAGCTACGAGGAACGAAACCAAAGCCATCGCAAATACACAAAATTGCATGAAAGCCTGAATGTCGTAAGGGGACTGTCATAGTGGACGAAAAAACATGGCAGCACAGTGAAATGGGAATACCCTCGGAGCCCGATATTATAGTTTCCTCTAAGGCACATAAGTGTATATGGGTATTATAATTACTATTTATTATTATTAATTATAATGGTTGAAAATGTCCACTGATTGAAATGTTTAGTGTATTTGCTTGTACTTTGCAGGCAAAGCAGAAAATGCAAAAGGAGAGCCGATCCTTCGATATTTTAGTGAAACTAGACAGTCTCTTGCAATATTAACTTATTTTTCTCTCTAATATTGATCTATAATGAGTGCAAAATAACTAAGATCTACATTTAATTTTCAAGTAAAATGTAAATAAATTAAAGACAGTAACAATAAGCAGTTATCACATGCTTTTTACTTCGGCTTTCAGTCAAAAAGTATTCACAAAATAAAAGGGTTACAACCGGCATAATTGTTAGGCGAATCGGGGTAAAAAGTTGCGAAATAAACCCAACAACAAACCCAACAGATAGCTTCACCCCATAAAATAAGCACAAAAAAACAATAAACCCCCTTTTTACGGACTGCAAGTACGACATACGAGCACCACGACAAAGACGCATGATGTCGAGTTCTCGTATAATTGTAGCATGAAATCAAACCACAAAACTAAATGCAATCCTGGTGAATGCGCAGTGTTTGCTGCATGTGCCGGATACGGGATGACGTCGAGTGTTGAGACTCTAATCCTTTTGGCATAGAAAAATCATAAAAAAAAAGGATGCCAAGTGGGCGCGCAGGTTGGCAACCCTGCTGTCTGCCGTGCCGTGTTCCCAGTGTCCGCTCTCCTTCTCCTTGTTCCTCTGGTTCCCTGTTTCTGTTCTGTTCTGTTTATACGGCTAACGGCTTTTTTACCACTACCCCAACCCCCACAGACGACGCCGAACGATGGCCACAACGAAATCCAAAAAGGGGGACAAACAAAAACAAACGACAAAAGCAACGGCGAGCGCAGCGCCATAAGATAAAGAGACCCGAGACCTCTCCATACGTACTATCTTCCCATCTGACTATCTCGCTCTGGCCGCATTCACACGATACAAGTGCGAGCCAACTCGAGCGATTGATTATGATTATTAGTAGGAGAAACCGATGACTACACCAGGCGATGGCTTCCACAGTGACTTCGTTCGTCGTCTTGGAACTGCCAGCCAAAGGTGAGGATGGGGCAAGGAGAGACGAATACAGGGACAGAGAGTAAAAGGTAGAGAGAAAAAAAGAAGGGGAGGGAGCAGAGCTCAGTAAGCAGCCGCGGAAAAACGAATTTAAATGAGCGGCATAACAGCCGCTTCTCGAACAGCAACAAACAAAAAAACAGATAAAACACGAGTACGTTGCACAGTGTCGGTCATAACAGTATGTAGAGCGACAGCCGGTTATCGGATAATTGATTAAACACTGAAGTTACTTGTGGGGTTTTTGATTTTTAATAAATGAGAAAATTAGAGTAATATGCTCATCCATTTTTTTTTTCAATTTGGTAACTCAAGCTCTTTTATTCTGGGACATCTAGGCGGACATGGCTAGATGGACTAACTTACTAATTTGTTACTTTCCTACACTGTAAGTACCCGGACATTTCGACTTTAATTGTAATATATTTTGACCCTTGCACTTGGTGTCTATTATTTTAACCGCAGGTGTCTGCCATCGTCTTGTGCTTCTGCTTGCTCCTCTTCCTCCTTTGGTAGCTACACATGCTACCACCCCCTTTGGGGGAGCGTGTAAAGTGGCAAACGACAGCGTCGCCGCTCATGTGAAATCTATAGGCATAAATTTATTGTTTTGTATTTTCGCTCGCTGCACAACCCGTGAGCGAGATGGAGATATGACCCCACTGCCCCCTCTTCTCTCGCTCGTTGGCTCCAACAACTTGAGTCTCGTTTACTTTTTCTTCTTGATTTGACTCTCCACACACACACAGTCACACACACATTCTTTGCATATTCTGCTCTCTTCTTGCACTCTTGCATTCTCGTTTTAATTAAGAGATATGGGGATACTAATATTGGTATTGGAATTGTCATTGCTTTTTGCATTACCTCCAAATAAATGCCATTTCCATTGCTTAATGTGGTTGGCATCGTGGCTGTTGTCGCTGTAGTTGTTGCTGTCGCAGCTGCAATTTGCGAGGATTTATTGAGATGCTCACAAAAGGCGGAGAAGCTGCTAAAGTCCATGGGTTTAATAACCTCCATTTTATTTAATTATTTACTTTTTTTGACAACAAACACTATAAAACACTATAAAATATCACAGTCGCAGTGTAGAAATCGAAGCCTTGTGGTTTCCGTCACGATTATTGATTTCAATTAAGCACTAATTATCATTCATTGCGCCCCCAATGACAACTATTTTGCACCTAGTTGCTGTGGTTGTTGTTGCCTCGGCAATTACATTATTCCGATTCCATTTCCAATACCATTCCGTCGTTTTGACTATCACTCCCACTCGCTCGCTCCCATTATTCTCGCGATTTATCGCGCGCCCGCTTCTCGTCTCTAGTCCGCTCTCGCTCGGCACCACACTTGGACTTTTTACAACTTTACACCGCGGCGCTCAAACAAATAATGAGCGGAGCGCATTGCGGACTAAAATACAAGAAACACTCCTCATCACACACACAGGCACAACGCGACGGCGACAGCGGCAGCAGCTAAAATCGAATGCGAATCAGGCAGCGCAAGAGAGACTCAAAAGAGTGGCAGAGGCAGGAGCGGAAGCGAGAGGCAGAGGAGAAGGGAAACCAAACAATCGTGAGATTAAGCCAAACGCCGTTTTGGGTGAATGTGAATATGAATGAGATGGGCTAAAAACTGAGACTTGAGACCGATACCGATACCGATGCGGACCGAGGAGCCTCAGACTGAGGTGAATGAGCGTCACTTGCAACAGAGACCGAGAGAGAGAGCGAGAGCCTTCGAGCGAGAGAGCCGGGCTCAAAAGAGAGAGAACGGGACATTAAATGTGACTGAGTAAGTGTGCACTGGATGGACGAGTTGAAGAAGAAGCACCAGCGGCGGTGGCGGCGGCGGCAGGCACATTGTGTCAACTCGGGTAATGTAAGCAAAGAAGAAGCACCAGCACTAGCCTGCCACACACACACACAGAGAATCGAGGAGACGGGGACACAACACACGGCTGAATTGGAGGCAAAAAAGCCAAGGCAATGAAACAAATGTACCACAAAAACTGTTGACGACATATAGAGAGCAGCGAAAGAGAGAGCGCGCGAGGCACTCAGTGGTCGAGGGAAGGAGATAAGGAGGAGGGTGTAATGACGGACGCAGGACAACAGCGGCAAAAGGGATAAAATAAAATAATAACAGCAGCCGCCACAGCGGCAGCAGAACGCTAAGCCTGAGAGGTAAAGCCATGAAAACGGATTAAAACACAAAAAGCAGGTACAAAAGGAGCATAAAAAGTTAAGAACTAATCTCACGAGAAACTACAGTCAGCTCTCACCACTTTCCATACGTTCATTCATTTAAAAAAATCCTTGTTTTAAATTATCGCAACTTTATCGTAATTAAGTTTTATATTTAGGGCTCATAAGACCCTATTGAAGAGTGAGGGCTCATGAAAAAGTTGTCATATCCTTGAAGCTTACTCCCCTTAATCTAAACTTATCTATAAATTATATAGTTTCAGTTTTGTATCTCCATCCAAAACCTTAACCTATGCTAATGCTACATATCTAGTCCCTGTTTATTTCTTTTGTTAGTGTATAGTATAAATATCTCGTTTATAGAACCTTGCCCTTTATATCTTTCTATTGATCTAGTAAGTCTATATCTTAATAGAAGACTGACATACGTTTTATATTGCAGTAAATTGCTGAGACTTTTCCCTTACTGAATGTACAGATACACGTTTAGCATGTGACAGATTTGAATTGTACGGGCTTGACTCTGATTATTGGCATATTGCAATTGTTTAATTAATTCGACCTTTGGGCAATCTACATACGCGACATACACACACACCTCGAGAAAGATTGAGAGAGAAAGAGGCAGCGAAAGATGGAAGCAGGGCCAAAGTGCGATAAGCACGTAGTCAGAGCAAAAACGAAACGAGATTATTAATCAATCCGCAAGATACAGATGCAGATACCACATGAGTGAGTGAGCGAGCGAAAGAGTGAGAGCGGCTGTCCAAGTGTGTGTTTCGGATATACGTACATGGATGAGCGAGCAGGGCGGATATAATCGCACACAGAATCGATGCAATGGCGACACATCTCCTCCTCGGCAAATGCATACGCGCAAGATCAGCGAGTGGAGAGCGACAGAGAAGGGCATCTTTCCTATCGTAAATTCGACTTAAACTAAATCAGCGGAAGAGAGAAGCAACCAAAGATGCGCAGGTAGACCGAGACAGGGGCTCTCAATGAGATATTTAAACTCGAACTGCAGACACAAAGCCCTCAATATATTGACGGACTGATGGACTGACTGGCCATTCGGCTTTATTGGTTAGAGACAGCCGACTTTTCCCAATGCTTTACGACTGACAGGTGTGAAGTGAAAAATGCGCCGACGCGGCAGCTGCACAGCTCCCAAATGCACTCGCTAGATCGCAGTGAGCACGAAAGAGAGAAGAAATAAGATGCGGCAGCAACACGTGAGGTGCACGCGCACAGTAGATTAAATCATCTAAAGATACATCTTTAAAGATACATCTTTGAAGATACATCTTTAAAGATACATCTAAAGATACATCTTTAAAGATACATAATTGAAGATACATCTTTAAAGATACATCTTTAAAGATACATTTTTAAATACAAAAATAAAAGTAATAATTTCATTTGCAGTATTTAAAAATGTTAAATGAATTATTTATATTATTAAAATAATAAAAATCAGTACGAATATAATTTTCAAAATAAATTGAAATCGTTCCACTGTTCAGCACAGCAGCAGTCGAGGCAGTGGCAGCCAAATGCTAATAAAATAATAAATCGAATGGCAGCAATAGCAACAAGCACAAAAGAAGAGCAACGACAGCAACAACAACAACAGCGGTCAAAAGCAAAGAGGCAAAAGGAACCAACAACAGCAAAGCATCCAAGCAGCAAGTCGAAGGTGGGCCCCGAAGATGGCCACAAAAAAGAATGGCCAAAGCCAGCACACACAACCTCCCTCCCTCCCGTACACATACACGCAGCCATTTCTATGCTCCGGTGTTCTAAATACACGTTGCAAAAATGCAAAAGGAATCAACAAAACAAAGCGAAAAGTGCTTTTAAGCTGCAGCCGCAGCAGCATAACGTGAAAAAAGAATAAGAGGAAGGAGGAAAAAGTGAGGAACGAAATGGGAGCTGAGCTCTCAAATGAGCACAATTAGGCGGCTGGCTTTATCGAAAACTCGCGCTCCGTGCAAAAGAAGAGGACAGGAAACGGCAACCGAAACGAAACAGGAACAGGTCACCCATTCTATATACATCCCCATCCCCATCTCCTTCCTCCTTTTTGCTCCGTCTCCCAAGTCACATATTGCGCTCAATAATTCAGTTCGTGAGAGCAGAGCAGCAGCCGCTGCTGAGGAGAGAGTGCCATCCATCCCCATTCCCCTGCCGACTGGCCAGGCATTTTGGGTGGGCGCGCACACGAAAAAGGAAAAAATTAAACATTGGATAAATCCAGAAAATGTAAAATTACAAACACACATTGCAGGCACCGGAGCAGCGACAGCGACAGCTGGTGGAAGCGAGATGGGGCGACACACTCGCATGGAAAACTAATACATACAGGCACAAGTACAGCCAACGTGTAGCTAGGCAGCAGAGCCAAAGCCAAAACCACCCGATGATATCGAATGAACAACAACAACAACAACAACTGTAACAACGATAAAACCAAGTCGTCCACCAACGCCAACGTCTCTGCCGGCTGCGCCGCAGCCGCAACAATCATCGTCACCAAAGAACTTCACCTCGTCGATACAACAACACCAAGAAATACTTGGCTTTGGCTCTTCGGCTCTGCTGCTTCTTCATCTTCTTCAACAAATCCGACTTGCTCCTGTTGTTGTTGTTGTTGTTTTTGTGGGTTTGATTGATGGCGGGCTGCCTTTACCGCTGCCGCCCCTCTGCCATTTGATAATGGCGGCGTCGCCCATTCAGTGCTGACCGAAAAAAGGTGTCTACATACACATACCAAATTCCTAGCTATTTTCAAGAGAAGTAGGTAACAGGATTTCACGTACATATAAAAATATTGAATTGAAATTTTAAATAGTTTCAAGAAATTAATTAATTCACCAAATTTTTAAGGATTTTGGCTAACTCGAGGTCCTTTCCAACCATAACAGAATGGTTATTATTTAAATTCCTAAGGAATGCTATCGCAGATAAATGTATTAATTTGTACATTATAAATCAATTATTTTAATTTAAATTAAAGCCCCTAACTAACTAATATTTTTGTACTAGTTCTTAGGTTTAGCTTTTTCAATCACCCAACTGGCTTGGCTGGTCTTTCCTGCGCATCTCCAGCGTCTGAAACTACAGTGGGAATGCGGCGAATCGAAGCGTCAGGTTGTACAATTGACTCCCGGGCCTCCACTTCGCTCTGGCTCATAATTTGACCCAAGCCTTTTGGCCAACGAGCTGCGGGTTCCACTGTGTTTGTGTGTGGTTGTTGTTGTTGTTGTTGTTGTTGTTGCCACCTCAAGGGGCAGCAAAAAGCGAAGCAGAGGCAAGAAAAACGAAACGAAAGCAACGGTTTTGCGCTAGGCAGAGCAGCCGGAGATGGGGATGGGATGGGGCAAGCAGGAGGAGGAGGAGGTGGTGGTGAAAAAGGAGAGGGAGGGGAAGTTTCATGTATTGCCGTTTTTGTTTCTGCCGCCGAGTGTGCAAAGTGGTTTGACATTTCCTCCGTTTTGGGCCGCTCATTCGCATTCCCATTCGCGAGATGAGTCGAAGGATGAGTAGGGAAAGTAGGATAGGATGAGAAGGGGGAGGAGGCGGAAGGAGCAGACTGTGGAGCATAATCCGAGCATCTCGTGTGAGCACCGTATTTCGGGTTCAAATTCGAGTGTACATGTATTTCTTTTATTTTGCATAAATTAAGCATAAGTGTATATTTGCTGTCGCTCCTCCTTCTCTTCTTTAGTGGCTCGTTTTCGTTTATTCGTCGTCATTTCGATTTTGTTTCCCCCATTCGGCAAGACACGCACACTCGTATAAAAAGGGGGCGGATACACAGACGGAGAAGTTGACAGACTTTTCACCTCTGATACCCCAATATGCCCTCCCTCTTCAACAGCTCAGGTGGTTGGGTGTTGACTTTGCTTTTTATTTAGTCAGATTTCCCGAGCTGTTATGGATTTGTCGATAACAGAAATGGAAATGGAGAGTATCGAAATTCTGTTTGTCAAAAAGAATGTTTCGATATATCACTGATACTTCTGGTTAAGTATTATCATACTTTTGGTTAATTCTGCTGAAATCTTTCAAGTACATTCCATATTTGATAAACATCTCAATTTGTAATGCTTTTATGCTAAAACAGGATGTATTTAGTTCTAAACATAACCCTCACTCATTAAAAGTTCAAAATAGTTCGATATTTTTGAAGCTTAATTAGTTAGTAGTCATGGTTAAAAGTGGATTAATCTCGTAATACTTTGGTAGTTGGACAACTCATGCAGGTTAGTATGATATGCGGGGTTAGTAGAGTAGTGTTTGGTATGGTAGCGTGGCTTTCGTGTCAGTGTTTCATTTTTTTCCTCCTTTTTTTGGGTTAAAGTCTTTCTTATCGGGGGGGATTATTGTTTGGACTGTTCACGGTCTATTGGCCCTTCGAAAGGGTGGCGGCGAGTGCTAGTTAAGGATTGATTTCAATTAAGGGGGGTTGATTTAATCAAACGGGCTTGCTTTTCGGGGCTGGTAGTGTGGTGTGGTGAGTGGTAAGAATGCATACATATGTATATAGAAATAGTAGATAGAGGGTACTCATCACTACATTGCGTTTGCGTACATTGTTCATGCTGACCAGATACATGGCCAGCTTATTGATGTCCAAGTTGGCCAGCTGGCTGACGTCGGTCGTGTTGAGGATGCTCAGCATCAGGCTGATGTCGGCGGCAGTGGGCATGGCTGGCATAGCTCCCGATCCGCCCACTTGCGATTGGGACTGCCCGGATCCGACGGATCCTCCTCCTCCGGCTGCTGCGGCAGCGGCTGCCGCTGCTGCGGACGTGCTGGCGCCCTGCGACTGCATCAATGCTTGCAGACTCCGGCCGCTGGGATCTGAAGAGCCCACCGTGGAGCCCACAGAGCCGCTGCCAGAGCCGCTCTGCAGCTGCATTTGCATCGACTGAAGCGTAGGCGTGGTGGGCACCGATAAAGGTGGCGTCGATGAGACCAGTGCCTGGAGCTGTGGGGCAATCACACACAGAGAGAGAGAGAGAAAGAGAGTTGGAGGCATTGGTAAGCGGGCAACAGAGATCAGGGATATCGTGGTTTCGGGTGAGATGGGCTTTAGGGTCGTGATTTTGAGGACGTTGGGGCACTCTGATCCCCATGTCCGTACATAGTTTTGCTGATCAGCTGTTGGCTGCTTTTGGGTTTATTTATAATCTATGATCTCGATTTCAAGTTTTTCATTTGCCTTGGGCTCTCCGTCAAAGTTCGGGTTTCAGTTCTAGTCCTCGTCCTGGTCCTGTCCGTTCTCTTGTACGCTAACTACGGTTAACTACGGCCAACAGCTAAGCAACAAAACTACGTACTTTTCAAAACACACTTTGACACTACAACATAATTATAATAATAACAGATAACAAGATAAATTATAAATCAGTTTTATTTTGGTTAGGCAAAGAAACGTGGACGTAGGCGTTAGATATTATTTTCACGTTAAAAAGGTATATTTTTTTATAATAAATTCTAGTTCATTTTTTTTGTATATTTCCGATATATTTAAATTTACGTTATTTTCGATGATATTGACCGCGACTTTTTTGTAGAATGCATACGAGACAGGGATACTCTGGGATGTACTGTGGATAAACAATGTCTAGTGGACTCACCTTGGCCTTTTGCTGCAGCTTCAGCTCCTCCTTCTTGTAGTTCCTCTGATAGGCGGTGATGACGCGACGGAGCCGCGTGTTGAGGTCCTGCATCGATGGCCACATGGTGGTGGCATCCTCAACGGCTGCCACGGTGGGCGGGTAGCTACCAGCAACGCTCTCCTCTTCGTCCAGGCCTAAATGTGAGTTGGAGTTAGCATGGTCGTTGGTTGTGGAGTTGGGGGCATTAGAGTTAGCCGCTTTGGATGATGGATTATTGGTGGTTGTGGTGGTGGTGGTGGTGGTAGTGGTATTGGTAATGGTAGTAGTAGTAGTGGTGGTGGTGGTGATGTTTGTGGTAGCATTGTTAGTGCATGATTCCGCTTGATCGCCTTCGGCACGGGCAATGGCAGCGGCTTCGTTTTTGGCTTCCCCAGCAGAAGGAGCAGCAGCAGATGACTCCTTTGATTCCTTTTTGATTTCATTTTCGTTATCGTTATCGATTTCAATTTGGCTCGTAGTTTCTTTATCTTTTTCGATTTTTTTCTCCGATTCGTTCTCTGACTCGCCATCGGCAGTCTTGGCCTCCATTGTCTCCAGATCTTCTCCAGCTTTCTCACTGGACGACAACGAGGTCGAGACTGCCGCGGCCTTTTTCTTGGTCTTGATTTCCGGATCTGTTTCTGTATCTGCCGATTGTGGTGGAGGAGTTGCTGATGATGCCTCCTGCTGGGCGGCCAACGTTGCCGCATTATCGACATTATCGCTACCATGGTCCGGCAAGGGATCGGCTTTGGATTTGGATGAGGATTCGGATTCGGAAGCATTTGCTGCGGTTTCTTTTTCGCATTCCTCCAGCTCGTTGGCCTTCGTTAGCGTTTTTGCGTCGTTGCCGTCGCCGATGCCGCCGCTCTTACCCGACGAACTTGGCCGCTCCGGGTCAAGGAGGAGCAGCGAGTCCTTGTTGCTATCGCCGGTGGTCAGTTTGCCAGAGTCCGAGTCTTTGGTCGTGGTGGTGCCATCATCGTCCACCTCGTCGCCATCGTCGTGCTTTGAATTTGCATCGTCTTCGTTTCTGTTTTGTGCCACAAAGATTAAGTTTTGGAATAAAATTATCAAAGATATTAAGATACTTAAGGTGTTCTAAGGGGGTGGTGGTGGTGGTAGAGTATATCATGCCAAAACGTAGTTAAAACGTTCTTGTAAAAAGCACAGAGAGAAAATTCACAACACACACACACGCACGCACACACATTCAACGCAATGGCAGATGGAGATCTCAATGCTTTGGATGTTTGTGCGTGTAAATGGGAGATACCATATAAGGAAGCTCTATTACGATCCTAGGGTTCTCACAGGTGTAGATAAATTCGGTAGATTTTTATGAGAGGTCTTTAAATCTGCAGTAATCGAGTTTTGCATTTTAACATCTTCATTTAAAACCGTAATATTTGCACATTTTCTAAGAGTGAAAGCATGATTTTCATGATTGGGAGGAATGTGCGTGGTGTGCGTGGGAATGTTAATGAGTTTTAGCAAATTCTGTTTCCTGTTTTAGCTTCAGCTTGAAATACATCTAGTCGGGGGGCTATTTTAGTACTTGTGTGTGTGGCATATGTGGGATTACTTAATGATATTTATGCAGGAGTGCGCCAATCACATTGATTGATATATTCCCTATCATCCGGTGTGTTTTGGGATCTTCAACTCACAGCTAATTCGTTCTTTAATTCTTTCTTTAAGACAAAATATACTGATCTGTGCCTATCAAATCTACTGATCAGCATGTTATGAGGGGTCCAGCTGAAGTTCCTTTATAACGTCTTTCCCTTTAGAGGCACCCTGAATTCTTGAGATATTTTTAAAATTTATAGATTTTTTATAGAATTATTTTTAAGTTCCCTATTTCTTATATAAAAATATTCTATCCTAAACACACCGGATTTTAATATGGTTTTTATTTTGGGTATTTATTTATATTTTTTTGTTTAGTTTCCGTTTCGAAAAATGAGACTTACATCGGCAAATTCGTGACAGCCAGATCGTCGCCGGCAGCACCGGCGCCCACATGGGTCACAAAGCACAGATTGGGATCGGCGCGCATTTGACGATACATTTCACAGCCATGCTTGTAGGTTCCAACCAACAGACTCTTATCACAACAAATGGGATTCCACCATGAGGATGGCACTTGATCTGGCGTTGGCGGCGGGCGAATGGGGAGCTCGCTACATATGATATTCGGTTTTCGTATTCGGTGGTCGATGATGATTTACATTCATGGATTTTGGAGGGAGATTTCACACAGAGAGAGAGAGAGAAAGATGCGCGAGAAAAGAAATGCGTTGGTTTAGTATAAAAATTTCAAATTTTGGTTCAATAATTTTGTTGTTGTTTTGGGTTTATGAGTAAAAATAATAATAGGAAATGACAAAACCAATAAAAAGAAAGATCAAATCATACGTATCATAACATTAATAATTAGCCAATTTGCACTACGGATTTTTACCACTACAAAAATGCAGAGAAATTCATACAAAAGCAACATAATAATAATATCAGAAATAAGACACATCTTATTTCTTCTATTGCCTTTGCTCTGGTGTTGATTTTTTGTTCTTTTTGAATTTTGAATTCATTAGAAAAATACACAAAAGATACACGAATAAAAAAGCAATGTGAAATTTCGATAATAGAGAGATAGTAGCAGGGATTTCCCTATTCGCCAGCATATTTTTTCATCTTCTTAAATGGAACGAGCGATTGACAGAGCGAGCGATGGCGATTTTTGGGTATTATTATTTTTAGGGATATTACCTTTCCAGATTGAGATTCAGATTCATATTGAGTGCCAGCTGCTGCTGCTTGGCTTTCGTACTGCTGCTGTTTTTTGTTTGTTTTTTTTAACATAATATACGTACATGTATATATAGATATTCGCAATGAAATCAATTGAGTATTTTGTATAGGTTTTGATTAAACGAATTGAAATTGAAATAAAAACACGAAACACACACAGCAGATAGAAGGAAGAGTTTGAGATGCGCCGAGGATTAGTTGGCAAAAATGTATATATAAATAGTGAAGCATATGGTATATAATATTTAGGGTGAGAATGAGCACGGATTAATGAAAGGAGGTAGATGTACAAATGGTTATTGGCTAGGCGATCAAAACGTACATAGAAAATAATGACTAAAGTTGTTAAAGAGAGAGCATAAAGGCTAATTTATTTAAAAAGAGAGACAGATTCAAGGATAGAGGTGCATTTTGAGCCCAAAAGTTGGCAAATCAGCTAATTTCAATTGCAAATAGAGAGAGACTCTTCTAGGAGACTACGAAATTAGCTGATCTTAGTTACAAGGAAAGAGAGAGAGCGAAAGCATTTCACCTGAACTTTAGTTCTACAGGACTTTATCAGTTGACAAAAAGATTAACTTAGTGTAGGTAATTCACAAATTGGCATTGTAAGAAAAATATGTATTGAATAATTTAATAAAAGTAAAAACAAAAAAACATATATGTGATCAACACTCTTGAGCAATCATTCAGTCAATCAAGTAATCAATCAATCAAACGACAACAGCAACAAACAAACAAAATGATTCAATGAACTCTAAAAAAAAAGGCTTTCTTTGTTCACTAAAAAGCGCCACGATCGCCTTACCTGATGGGCGTATTGTCCTTGATCTGCTGGACAAACTCGCCAATAACCTCGTGCTGGATATAGTAAAGCATCCTCACGCGCAGCAGGACTCTGTGGATTAAAACGAAAGACATTTGAGAGAAGGAAGAGAAGAGCAAAGAAAGAAAGAAAGAGCGTAGGGATTCGATGTATTAGTTGGATTGAATTTCAATGGGGTTAAGACTAGCTTATAAACAAATTCGATTCCACACGACTCACTTATTCGCGTGTCTGCCCAGATGCTTCTTGTAGGCGCCCTCCAAGTACGCATCCGCATCGTACTTCTCCTTCTTGCTCCAATGATTCGGATCATGGATGCTTGTGGGAGTGGTGACTGCCGCAGCCACTGCGCTGGCACTGACTCCTACGCCTCCATCCTTGTCGGACCCATCCAAAGCACTCGACTTGTGAGCCGGTGTCGTGTTGCCGCTATTGCTGCCGGATGCTGTGCCCGGTGCTGGGGTCGAGCTGCCCGTGGTTTCCTTGTTCGACTTGCCGCCATTGCGTCCTGAAAGCCACAAAATATTCGTACAGAATATTAGTGAATATTTTGTTTAAGCAGCTGCTGCTCTCCAAATACAGATAAAAAGAAAATAAGAACTGTACAGACTTTGGAGGGCAGCTGGGCCGTGAATGTAAAATTGAAATTAATTTTACAAGCTCTACATGAGATCTTTGCTTTTAATATTCACAGCTATTTTTTGTAATTTAAAAATTAAAATGTAACTACAAAAACGAAAAGTAAAACAAATCTTGGATAAAACCAAGTTTAATCATCGTCTTTGCCTGGATTTGGATTATTATTTGGCTTTGTTTTGCAAACACTGTCGGCATTTCAAAATATCTCGGATCCTCCAGCAAAGACAAGAATATTTACAGTTAGTATTGAAAAACTTGGTTGAAATTAAAAGGTTAAAGCAAATTAATAATACAAATATGAATGAGTTTGATTATAAATATGAAATATACATAGAATATACATTAGTTAATGATTACTTATACAAAAAACAAATAATAAGTTTTGATATATAGTAAAAGGCATACAATTGCATGGCAACAAAACATACACACACGTTTTCATCGGTCCAGTCAAGTGTAGGTAGAGTCACAGTCCGGGTCGTATTTAGAGAGATTTGATTCGAGAATTGAAGTAAGTTATGATGGAATATATATAGGAAGTAGAAGGAGGAAATTAGAGGCCATTACATAGACCCAAAGCAACACACACTAGTACACATAATATGGAGTTGTTTCCTTTAGCGGGGAAAAAGGATACGGAAGTACACAAAGTTAGCTAAAAGTCCAGATAAAGCCCCATTTTGAAATAGAGTGTGTCGAAATCGTATACAAGTTTGATTCATTCTAGTTTTCCCATTTTTATATTATATATTTTGAATTTTTTGATGTTTTTTAAAACTCTCTACGTCCGTGCAGCAGTTTGGGAGGTGTGCGTGAATGTATCTTTTTACCATACCTTTGGCATTCCTACCTCGTGGCACCAAATTGTGTAGGCCACTATGATCCCTGCTGATCTTTTGCACCTCTCCGTCCTCCGTTGGCGTAATCAAGTCCCAAATGAACGTCTTGATCTTCTCATCACCCTTGTACACTTGGAGACAGTAAAGGAGCTGTAAGAAAGCAAAAAACTTGTACGTTTAGCAGGCACTTTAGAGAAATACATGTTGTGAAAGGGTTTTTCTCTTTCAGCGGGTTGAGAAGTTAGTTTTTACTCAGCGAAAACCTAAAGTTTTCTCAATATTAGCATGGTTGGTCATCATTAAGAAAGAAGGTCTCAAATAGCCAAGTTTAAGATCAAGAGTTAACTTACGATAATGCGAGCACAGTCCTCGACATCGATATCACGCCAGCCGCGCTTGAATTGTCCCAGCTCCAGGAGTTCCGACCATCGTCCCCAACTGAAAAAGCAAGGTTTACAAATTAATGATGAATAATAAAGTCAAATTTTAGATATATTATTATTATTAGTAAGAGATCCTTTTGAATCTTTATAACCTCTTTTAAATCCTCATCTAGTGATCCTTTGGAATCTTTGTAGCCACTTTTAAATCTCAAAAAAACAAGCATACAGACGTATTATTTGCAAAATATAAATTTTCGGAAGCAATACCCATTTCCTACAAACAAATTAAACACCCAAGAAACAAGTTCCCGCTTAAAAAAGCTCAAAATGTCGTTCCACAGCATCAGAACGGAAATGAGCCGACGCTCCATGAGGTCGCATGCGAGCAGAATTCAGGTTGATAATTGGGTGCCGCAGGAACTGGACGTAACGGGCATCATTGACAAGTTCTTTTTGGAGGATTTTCACACATATTCGGACGAGGAGCGCGAAGAGCGGCTGGCCGGTCTGGATGCCCTAGAGATGCTGCGCACCATCGAGCTGGTGCACAACGATGTGGCCACTTTACGGCTAGAGAATCACATTATGGTCGAGTTTCTAGAGAAGAACGATCCGAAATTATTGATGGGCCTGAGGCAGCGTCGCACTTCGATACTGAAAAGATTGCAAACTAAGCGTGGCTCCGTGGCGGGCAGTCATAGTAGCCGCCACTCGAGCTCCAAGCGATCCATTTCCCTTTCTATGCGCGGCTCCCTCGGCGGGGGAGAAAAACGACGAGGCATGGAGTTCAAGCTGAACTACAAGGCCAAGGCCGAAATGGCCGAGAAGAGAGCCGCCGAGGTGGAGAAGCGAGTGACGGATATTGAGAGGAATGGTAAGTAGAGCTGGAGGTGGTGGCCTTGACACTTCAATCCCTAAACACGTACTCCCCAAGCCCTGCGAGAGGTGAAGCAGCTTAGGGCCAAGATAGAGGAGCTGCGCTTTCGCAGCGAGGAAACCATCGAGACTGAGAACAACTTCATGCTGCACTTTTTGCGCGACGAACAGGACGTGGCCTTCTTGGAGGGGGCCACCGAGCGGCAGATCGAGCGCAAGCTGCGCAAGTTCACCACGAACTGGTTCAAGAATGCACGCGCCCTGCTGGGAACCATGAAGTTGACCATTGTCTCGCTGCAGGAGACTTGCCAGCAGCATCGCGCCGATCTCATCACCAAATCCGATCTTAGTGGCATCCTGACGGCCGTCGATTTCGAAAAGCTGATGATCAAGAGAACAGAACTGGTGAACCAGCTGGAGGAGAAAAACATTCACATGGCTGGACTCAAGGGTGTTACGGGTAAGACCTCCTTGGCCATGACCGAGGAGAAGCAGGCCATGATGAACCTGGAGACGGAAATGCGCACGGTACTCAATAAAACCGAAGAAGTCACCCGAGCCATACAGAAGCTCGAAAAGGAGGTGGCGGCCGTTCAGAATCACAATGCCAAGGATTACGTTACGCTGGATGAGTTGAGGGCCCAGCTGCAGGAGTACGAGGCGCCGAGCGTTGGCGAGTATATCGAACGCAAGGAGGAGGCGCATATGCTCGAGAAGGAGGAGAAGATGCTTCAGCGAAAGATCTACATCCTGAACATGAAACTCAACAATGCCATACGTCGTAAGAATCGTTTGACTGAGGGGTAAATTGTGTATTATCCTTTGTCCTTAATTTCTTGTTAATTGAAGTGTAATTGTATCAGCTAAGCTCCCCTACGACTTTTCTTTTTGGTTAAAGCAAATCCCCGCTAGGAATACACTTAAATGTGACATAAATTCCTATATATTTATTATTTCTTTTACTTTGCTGCTCTCGATATGCAGCCCTAATCCCAATCCCTTCTTTACTCACCCAAAGGAAAGCAGCCCCTTCTCCACCTTGAAGCACTCGGACTTGGCCCAGTTACCGTACTGAATCTCCTCCAGTCCCAAGGCAGCCAGGGCATCACGTTCGCGTGGAATGTACTCATCGTTGCCCTTCTTTTCGCGGGCGCGATCTCGTTTCTCCTTGCGGCGGCGTGAACGAAGACCTAGAGGCAGATTAGCAATAGTTTAGTAAAGGAATAACAGCTAAGCACAGTTCATACTCACCAATTCCTCCCTCCTCGTCGCTATTCTCATTGGAAGATTCCTCCGAGTTCAGTTCCATCACATCCTCATGACCGTAGCGTTTGATCTGCGTGCGTCGCCGCGGCTCTGATAGAACCAAATCCTCAGTCTCGTCTCGCTCACAGGCATCGGGATCGATGTCAACCTTCTTGGCCCACTTGGTCCAGAAATCGGGATCATCGATGGTAATATCCGATCTGTTGCCGGAGGCGGCAAATGAAGCCTTCGAGAAGGTCGAACCCTTCTCCGATTCCATGGTGATGACCTGAGTGCGGCGCTTCAGGATCGAGTCAATGTCCTCTTCGCAGAACTTGTCGCCGGCATTGTCGTCGTCCATGACAGCACCGTAGGCGCCCTTCTTGAGCAGATCTTCGATCTCCTTTTTGGACAGCTGCTTGTTGTTGCCATCCTTAGAGCCCTGCGTGTTCATCGACTGCAGCACGGCCTTGTCCAGGCCCAGCTTCATCGACGCCTTGTCGAACATCTCACGCTCATAGGTGTTTCTGCAGAGCAGCCGGTAGATCTTCACCATCTTGCGTTGTCCAATACGATGGCACCTGGCCTGGGCCTGCAGATCGTTCTGCGGATTCCAATCGGAGTCGTATATAATGACCGTATCGGCGGCCGTCAAATTAATGCCCAGTCCTCCTGCTTTGGTGCAGAGCAAGAAGACAAACCGATCAGAGCCCGGTTTGGAGTACCGATCGATGGCCTCCTGACGCAGATTGCCCCTAATCCGTCCATCGATTCGCTCAAAGGGATACTTCCGGTACACCAGGTAATCCTCCAGAATGTCCAGGCACCGCACCATCTGACTGAAGATCAGCACTCGATGGCCATTGGCCTTGAGTTTGGGCAAAAGTTTGTCAATTAAAACCATTTTGCCCGCCGAGAGGATAAGATTCTTGTAGTAGGACTCGGGATCCTCACCGTGCTGGGACTTAAAATCGTATTGAATCTGCTCCTCGGCGCCGTTCAAGAGGTACGGATGGATGCAGCACTTGCGCAGCTCCATCATCGTGTTCATCAGATTGGGAATATTCGCGGATGTGGTTCCCTTCTTCAGGAAACTGAAGTTCTGTTCGAGAATGCCGCGGTAGTACTTCTTCTGTATGTTCGTCAGCTCCACCTCAATGATGGTCTCCTCCTTGGGCGCCAAACTCTTCTCCACATCGTCCTTCAGGCGACGCAACATCATGGGCTTGAGCAGGGCCTGGAGCTTGTTCACTTCCTCCTCGTTGCGGAGGTTACCAAACTCGGACATGAACTCCTCCTGCGAGGAGAACTGCGAGGGCTCCAGGAAGTTCAGCAGCGAGAACAGCTCGCTGATATTATTCTGCAGTGGAGTTCCCGAAAGCAGGACCCTGTGCTCCAGATTCAGCTGACGCAGCCCCTCGAGGAGCTTGCAGTTTCGGTTCTTCAGGCGATGAGCCTCATCGATGACGCACAGGCGCCAGTTGAAGGCCTTCAGGTCCATGTAGTCGGTGACAATCATTTCGAAGGTGGTGATCAGGACATTGAACTTGATGGGCTCCTTGAGGACCTTGCCGCTGTCCGTCTTGTAGTAGAACTCATAGTCCTGTATCATCTGCTTGCTGGTCACCGACCCGTGATAGACGACCACATTCATGTCCGTCCAGCCCTCGAACTCGCGCTGCCAGTTGGGAATCGTGGAGAGGGGAGCTATGACCAGGAAGGGTCCCCTAATGCCATACTCATAAACGGAGTGGACAAATGTCAAACTCTGGATGGTCTTGCCCAGACCCATTTCATCGGCCAGGATGCAGTTGTGTGTGTTGTACCACGAGAACTTTAACCAATTGAGACCCTCCAGCTGGTACGGTCTCAGGCTGTTTCCCGCCTTGTACACCGGCGTCTTCTCCAGCTTCTTCCAGAGCTCCGGATGCGGCCGCTTCTTGCTCTTCCACTCGCACCTCAGCGGGATCTTGTTGAAGCGCAAGTACTGCTCAATCTTGTCGTTATCGACATCCTCCTCCAGCTCCCAGGTGCAGTCCTCGTAGGGCAAGGACTTCCACTTGACCAAGTAGTGCTTTGTGGTCTCGCCACTGTTCTCATCCGTGTGCACGGACATGTCCAGCACCCGATCTACTTCCGTAAAGTCGGGATTGAAGGGCTCCTCTTCGATATTCTCGAAAATGTTCAGTTGCTGCGACTGCTTCTGCTGGAAGCGTCGAATCTTGGCCGCCACACGGCGATCGCCCTTGAGGAGTTCCTCTTCGGTCCGCCACTCGCAGTGGAGGTAACTAAAGTTGCGATACTTGACAAAGTACTCCTCCACATCGATGAAGACGGGCTCGGGTTTGTTCTCCTTGTCCCCAGCATCGTTTCCCTCTTCACCTTCCTTTTTGTCGGACTCCTCGTCTCCCTTCTCCTTGACTGCCGTTGCCTCCTTTTCCTCAGCTTCCGCAGATTTCTTATCTTTTTCATTGTGTTCCTCTTCGGTTTTCACATCTTCAGTTGAGGTCTTGTCCCCACTGGCATTCTCTTCCTTGGGCTTAGTGGGCGATTCACTCTCATCCACATCCATTTTCTCACCACCATCAGTTTCCTCCGTTTCCTTGGCCTCCTCTGCGGTTTCTACATCCGAAGAGGTGGTTTTCTCATCTTCTGTGTTTTCGGATTTCTCTTCAGGTTTCTCCGTTTCGGTTTGCTCTGTTTCTGGTTTGGATTCATCTACGTCCATCTTGTTGTCCGCATCCTTGACCTCGCTGGAGGCTTCTTCCTCATCAGACTTTTCAGCCGTCTTCGTTGCCTCAGACTCATCCTTGTCGCCGTCCACTTCCATTTCGGAAGTCTCGTTTCCCGGCTTCTTAATCTCGGAATCTTCTTTTGAATCCTCTTTATCCACAGCCTCTGTTTTAGGCTTTTCCTCGCCTTCGGGCTTTTCCGCTGAAGCTTCTGCTTCTGGTTTCTCCCCTTGATCCTTCTCCTCCTCCTCCTTTTTGGTCTGCGGCTCCGGCGTCTTCTCCTTGGGTTTCTCCGGGATAAGTTCCCGTTTACCCATTCGCATGGCCAAAACTAGTTGTACCACCATGCTATCCTCGTCGCCAGTGTTGATGTACACATAATTGGGCTTGGAGGACATGGCTGCATTGGCGGCATCGGTGGCGTTGAGGCGCTCCTTTTCCGCAGCCGCTGCGGCCGAGGTCGAACTCGAGCTGGCTTCCAGCTGGCTGCTTTCGTCGGGGGGAAGATTGGATTTATCCTCAGAGCCCGCTCCAGCTTCCTGGCCAGCCGCTTCGCCCTCAGCCCCTGACTGAGGCTCCGCCTTCTCCACATCACTGCCGGCACTAGAGTTTGCGGCGGCTGCAGCGGTAGCGGAGGACTTCTTGTCTTTCTTGACTGGCGAAGCCACTAGGAGAGAGTTGTCGTCGTCGGAGAACCTGAGCATGACATCGTCAATGTACTTCTTTCGCTGCGTATTCCTCGACGATCGTCTCTTGTTCGAGTCCAGTTCAGAGTCTGGTGGCGGCGATGGTGGCGGTGTCCTGTCCAAGGTGTCGTCTTCGCCATCGGATTCGGGCACAATCCTGCCCCTATTCCTTCGCTTCTTGAGGGCCTTGGCGGAGAGGGAGCCACGATTCCGCCGCGCACTACCGCCTCCCTCCTCGGAATTGGCATTGCGGCGACTACTCCTGGCCGTTGACCTTTTCCGATCCCTCCTACTGGGCGTGGTTCCGGCTGCATCGCCGGCGGAGTCCGGAACTGAGTCCACAGTCTCGTCGCCAGCCTCGCCACCGGCATCCTTGTCCTCGTCGTTGGCGCTCCGCGGTATCTTGGATACAGGTATATCGTCATAATCCGGCGACTCGCCATCGACTCCTCCGCCGCCTCCTCCGCCTGAAGTGGTTTCCGCTTCGCCATCGGCGGATCCAGCCTTAGTTACGAGTGGCTTATTATCCTCCACTTCGCTGCCTTCGCCGGTTTGCTCGGCTCCTTCCTCGCCATACTGCTTCCTTCGCTTGCTAACACTGGCCCTTTTCCGGGCCGGAGCCGGTGCCGGTGTCTCCGGGTCACTAGGATCTTTTGGTTTCTTCGCCTTCGGCGTCCTATCCCGCGGCGGCTTATTCGGATCCTTGGGAGTGCGCGGCTTGCGAGGCTTCTTCTTTTTCCCACTGCCATCGGTAGAGGTGTCTAGTTCGTTGGCCGAGTGGACATCCTGCGAGAGATCGCCCATGCCCTCGCTGTACTCCAGCATGCCAACGACACTGGTGTCGCCGGCTCCCTGGGTCACACAGTCCTCGGAGACGGGCAGCTGCGTTGTGGGTATACTGGGAGTATCCACCACGTTGCCACTGATATCCATTAGGTCTCCCTGGCGCTGTTCCAGCATCTGCTGCTGCTGCTGATGCGCGGCTGTCGACGCCGCCACCTGTCCCCCCTTGTCGCCCTTTTTGGCCCGCGGCTTCCGTGGCTTATTCGTTCCCTTGCCTCTGCCCCGTCCGGTGGTGCTTGAGACCTGGGGACTCTCCACCATTTGATTGTGCAGCGGATTGTTGCTGCCCGGCGGGCCGTACATAGGCGGCATGCTCTGGTAGAGTAGGCACTGTGGGCCACCGCCGGCACACTGATCGTTAATCTCGTGCTGGGTTAGCAGATTCAAGCGCTCCTGCATTCGCATTAGCTTCTCCTGATGCTGGTGCTCATGGCCCGGCGGCATGCAGTACAATTCCTGGATCTGCTGCTGCAGCGCTGCAATCTCTTGCTGATGCAGCATCGGATACGGAGGCGGATACATGCTGCCCGGCGGTGCTCCGCCTACTCCTGCTCCATATGGCGGCATCATGGGCGGCATGTGACCTTGCGGAGGAGCGCCCTGGGCATCGTATCCCTGGGCCATGGGATGCATTGGCATTCCTATGGGCGGGGGAATCTGCTGTTGTTGCTGCGGCGGCGCCTGCACTGTGGTGGAATCCATTGGCGGCACTACCTTGTCCTCTGGCAAATCGTCAAGGTTCTTTTGGGATTCCTCTGTCGTCAGGTCTCCCAGCTGAGTTTGTTCTATCATCTCCTCGGCGGTGGGCTTCTCCAGGAGATCCTCCTGCACAGCGGTCGGCAACTCGGTGCTCAGACCCAGGCTGGTATCTTGTGTCTTCGGAACACTCGACGTCTCATCCATCGGCAGCTCGGTTTCATTGACAGGAACGCCCGCTAATCCCTCGCCTCCCGATTCGCTCTGATTCTTCTCGAACTCGCCGGCATTCGACGACTGCGAATTGCTGTCTAAGAGAGCCGCCGCCGCCGTGGCTGCTGCATTGTTGGCCACCGCAGTCGTCACTGTTGCCGATTGCGAGGACATGGAATTGTTGTCAAAGAGACCACCGACATCCACTCCGACGACATCTGAGTGGGAGTTTGTGTTGTCCATTAGCAAGTGCTGTTGCTGCGGCTGCTGCTGCTGCGGCTGGTTGTTGTTGCCGCTGCTGTTGATGCTGCTCTGCGAGTTGCTGTCATGGACCGAGGTCGGTTGATTGTTGACGATGCTGTTGGTGCTGCTGTTGCTGCTGCTGTTGTTGCTATCATTGGCTGCCACGGCCAGGGTGGAGGAATCGTTCGAGTTGGCCGTTTCGTTAAGGATGCTGCTCAGGTGATGCGACGAGGGTGTCACGCTTTGCTGCGGCGGGGCCTGTTGTGGCACCTGTTGCTGCTGCTGCTGCTGCATTTGCGCTGGAATCGGCGAACTCACATGAGCCGGCGACATTGTCTGTTGAGTCGTAGCTGCCGGCGGCTGCTGCTGCTGCTGGCTGCTGTCTCCCAAGATGTTTGCAAACGGATCAAATTGCTGCTGCTGCGGCTGTGACTGGTTGTAGCTGGGCAGATGTTGCTGGTGGTGCGGCGACTGATGCTGCTGCTGGTGTATCGGCGATTGGTGCTGCATTTGCTGGTGATGCGGCGACGTTAGACTCGCCTGCGCTTGCTGCGCCGCCTGCTGTTGCGCCGGCTGACCCGCCTCCATGCTTGGCTGTATCAAATGATGCATACTGGGCAAGCTTTGCTGGTGCAATGGAGAGGAGGACATGGCCGCCAGTTGGGTCTGATTTTGACCGCTGACCGCAGCTCCACTGCTGTTGCTGTTGCCGCCTCCTCCACCTCCCACAATATCGTTGATGGAATGCTGCAGTTGATCGTTGAGTGATTGCTGCTGTTGTTGATGTTGTTGTTGCTGCTGCTGTTGCTGCGGGTTAGGCACTACTGGTGGTGCCACCACTGGCGGCACAACCTGTTGCTGTTGCGCCGCTTGTGGCTGCTGCTGCTGTTGCTGCTGTCCCATCGCCTGTCCGTACATGCTCAGCTGTTGCTGATGGTGCTGCTGCTGCAACATAGCCGCCTGCTGCTGCGGCGCTTGTTGCTGCTGCTGTTGCGCCTGTTGCTGCTGTTGCATGGCGGCCATGTGCTGGGTGCCCCACTGCTGGTGATGCTGCTGCTGCTGCGGAGACGCTGGCATCCTGGGACCAACCACCGAGCTCCTGTACGCTGACGGATAGTCCATAGGAGGCAGTCCATGCGCCTGTGACGGCATCACCATTTGTTCGAGGGCCTGCAAGGTATTGACGGGAGCAACGGGCGCCGGTACCGCCTTCGATACCGCTCCTCCTCCTCCTCCCCCTGCTCCAACGCCTCCTCCTCCGCTGCTCGGCGGCTGGGGTCGTGGCGAGGGCAGTCCGACCATGCCTTGGATGCTATGCTGGCTGGGCTGGTTGTTCACCACCTGCTGCTGTTGTGGCTGCTGCTGCTGCGCCTGCGTCTGTTGTTGCGTGGGTGGTGGCTTTGCCGGCGACACGCCCACCGGTCGCGGTGACATCTGCGGATGCGGCGACATGGTCGGCGGACGTGGCGACATCTGTGGCGATAGCTGCGGAAAGGGTGCGCGATACTGGGGCGAGGAATTCAGCTGAGCGGCGGCCGCCTGTTGATGTTTGCTGCTGGACATGTAAGGCGGAGCTGCCTGCTGCTGCTGCTGCACTTGCTGCGCCTGCTGCTGTTGCACTTGCTGCTGTTGCTGCTGCTGCTGGTGGTGGCTTCCGTAGCTAGGAGGCATTCCCATGTGCGGAGGGGGCAGCACGGCGCCTGGCAACTGTTGCTGTTGCTGCATAAGCGAGACGTGCGGTTGCTGCTGCTGCTGCGCCTGCTGTTGCTGCGATTGGAGTTGCTGCTGCTGCTGGTGGGCTCCCAATTGCTGCGCTGCCTGCTGCTGCTGCGCACTCAAATGATGGCCCGGCGGCGCTCCTCCCGGCACGTGCTGCCCGTAGGCTGACGCCTGATCCAGCCCCGTGTGGCCGTAGCCCACATGTTGCGGCGCTCCCCGTCCTGGCTGGTGCTGCATGGGACTGCCGTAAGGGCTGTGAGCGTAGGCCTGGGGCACTGTCGGAGGCTGTCCTGCCTGGACAGTGGGTGCTCCCACTACACCAGGATACAGGGGATGTTGGCCAGGCGCTTGCGGATAGTGCTGCGGCAGTCGAGCCTGCTGCTGACTCTGCTGCTGCTGCTGTTGCTGCTGCGCCTGTTGCTGTGCCTGCACCTGCTGGGCCTGCACTTGCTGTGCCTGCTGCTGCTGGGGCGTGGGCGGCTGGACCTGCTGCTGCTGCGATCCGTAGCCGGCCATCATGCTTTGCTGTGCTCCGTAGGGCGCCACCAGCTTCTGCTGTTCCTGCTGTCCGTAGGCGGGCATGTGTTGCCGATACGCGCTGGCCTGGCTCTGCTGGCGCTGCTGCTGCGCCGGCGGTGCTGCCTGCGGATGGCCATAGGCACCCAATCCGGCGCCAGGATACGCTGCTGCCTGTCCCGGTACCGAGGGCGCTGCACCCCAACCACTTAGATCACCCATTCCGGCTCCAACGCCGACGCCCACTCCGAGGCCCATGGCCGCTTGATGATCGGCGGCCCCCAGCCCGTAGAGATTCTCCGCCGTTGGCTGGTACGATGGGTATTGGGGCTGTTGCTGTAGCGGATGTGGAGCGCGGTGGCGAGGCGGATAGCCGCCGGGCGGTCCCATTGCCCGAGGATTTGCCGCGGCGGCGGCTGCTGCGGCGGCTGCCGCATCGTAACGGTAATAGGGATCTCTGTATAAATAAGAAAGCACAAAAATAGTAAGCAACAATTACCTAAACCTAGAGCCAGCTCTGGCCATTTCCTGTGAGGGTTGACAATCAACAAAGATTCAGTGTTTGAAAAACTCACCCTTGATGATTTCCGTGAAACATATTTTGTGCATTTCCATCCATCAGATTTTTGAAACGCAGCGCACACAGAAATGTCCGTTACACGTCGACCGATGGATGACGACGCGACGCCGCTGCGTTTTCAGGTTTGCTCGTCGGTTGGCTTAATTTTGATGCTGCTTGCTCTCTGCGCGTTGGAGTTGGGAGGAGAAAGGATGAAATGCCTAGCCTAGAGAAGTTGTTCTTCTTCACGGCGGGGACGTTGACTGCCACTGATTGTTGAACGGATATCTTGTGGCTCCTCTACTTCTCTCTCCACTCTCGCGCTTCGTCTTAGTTTACCGTTTATGATTGCGTATCTAATATATATATATATTGGTTGTTCTGGGTTTCTAACTACTAAACTTAATTACAACTGGTGTGCAATTTCACGTCTTGTTGTTGTGGTTGATGTTGCTTTCATATGTTGGAGTCATTTGTGTCTCGTGTTTCGTGCACTTCATGGCCGACCTTTGACATATTCGCAGTGAAACACATTTGCTCACAGCTAGAAAAACATTTAAAAAAAACGAAGATTTGAAGGGATTTCGAATTGTACTGATAAAAAAAAATATTTATTATAAAAATAAAAAGTTTTTTTCGCGTCACACGATAATATTGAATTTATTGTGGGGAGATTGAGCGTATTTTAAGCGAGCGTTTCCATATCGAACATTTTTATTGAATTTATCTGTAAGGAAAAGAGAAAAGTGGTTAGGTTAGTTAGTTAGAATTTTAATTATTTAAGGCTATTAAAATATTAACACCTAATTATATATTATTTGAGTATTAATTACAAATCAATTCTTAAACGTTATAGATTTTATATTTTTTTTTTTTTGTATATCTATCCTAATTTTCTGAGAGATTTACCAATTAAATTATTATAACTTTTTAAATTATTACACTTTTTCGTTGTTGTTGCATCAACTTTTAAGGGGAAAAGCTATACGCTTATGAATTTCATAGATTGGCACATATAACGTACAGTTTGACCCCCCAAAATGATGAGCAATAATATTATTCATTCTATTTATATATCATAACACATTAGCTGCAATTTGGACTATTATTTGGGCCCAAACAATGTTAAAAGGAAAACTCAAAATGTAAAAAGAAAGGGGAACAGATAATACACTTTATACAGAACACTATATAGTACTAGAAATGGTTTTGAGATTTCAATGAGTGGTATGAGGGGTTGGTTTTTAGGTTGAAAATCTTTTTTGCGGCAACAGTGAGAAAAAACAATGAAAACTCTATCGATTTTTCCGCATTGTCTCTGCTGCTGCTGCTGCTTTTAGCCGAAAAATCTAAAGCAGCAAGCAGTTGGAAAATCCGCAGAGAGACAGCAAAAAGGAAAAGGCGAGCGAGTAAAAGGCAAAAAAAAAATGCGGGTGGGTTGACTGACTGCTTGTTGTTTCTGTTGTTTTTGTTGCTGTTGGAAGCTGGGGGAGAGCCCAAAAGATATGCAAATGGAATGGTGGGGGGTTAAGGGGTTGGTTGGGTGGCAAGGTGTGGTGTCTGCTTTGTGTGTTTGTTTGTGCAAATGGAAAGTGGAGAGATATAGACACAAAACTACCGAGAGTACATAGAGATATGCACTTACACACACACACGCACACTTAGAGATACACGGCCGAAAATTCGCCGTTCGTTATAAAGGTGAGGTGAGAGGAATACACACTGCCACACACTATATGGCACATCATCAAGCGAAACTTATGTGGAGTGCCTGACACATGGGTTAAGCGGTAAGCTTAGCACCGCTCCCCAGCACCACCCACTCTTCACTCCTCACCCTTCACTCTCCGTTCTCCACCTTTTCCCCCTGCAACCCGCTACTGTGAGCTTGCCGCGAGTTGTTCGCGCTCATTGGACAATCATTTAGCCAGTCGTCGGTCGTTGTTGTTGCTGTTGTTACTACACCGTAAAAAAGTTGCTAACTCAAGAGACGGCCCTATAAATACAAGTGATCTATAATTCAATATTACTAAAGTTATCGCGATTTGTTTATAAAATTGTCAAGTATTCCAAGAATATCTTATTTTATATAAAATTCACATTTAATAATTTAAATTTCTTCAGTGAACTCGAAAATACTATTTGGCTTTAGACATTGTCTACTTGATTAATTTATTTCATTTTATTTTCAGAATCAATTTGAGTCATAATAATTACAGGCTCTGCGATAATTTCTCGCTGTGTCGCACTCGTTGTTGTTGGACCCTCTGGCTGCTTTGACTTTGCCGTAATCAATTACATTTCGCTTTTGCAATTTCAGCTATTTATTTATTTAGTTTCAGCTCTTGCCATTATTATTAGGCGAGCGTAAATACATACATTTATACATAGATATTTGTATGTGTATCTGAAAGTTTGTGTGAGCGGCGAGACTTTACTTTTGTATATCTGGCAGATATCTATCAGTGAGCGAGTGTGTGTTTGTCGCATTTTTCTTTCGCCTTAGTTTTTATTACCCGCTGCTCGCTTCTTCTCATTTTCTTGTTTTTTTTTTTTCCTTTTTTTTTTTTGGCGTGGCTTTTACACAAACAAATCGGACAAAGTAATTGCAAAAAGAAAAAACAATAAACTAAAAGCAATAGTAATATGCATATACGTGTGAATGTTTGTGGTACTGCTGTCCGTTTGTCCATCTGTATGAGTTTGTGTAAGCAAAGCAAAAGCACAGACATCTGAAAAATTGTGAAATTATACTTTACTTATTGCCTCGCCTCTCTGCCTCTCTTTTCGGTGTTTATGTCTATATGTCTATGTCTATGTCGCCGCCGTCTCTGTCTCTGCGCACAACTGTACATTTGTTTTAAATAAGCGAAAAATCGATTAAAGGTGATAATAGACGAGCAAATTTCAGAGTGTCCCAAAACGACGAAAGACGCGAGCCACATTTTTGTGACCCGACGTTGCGACGACGACGAAGCACCACCACCGCCACCAATATATGTAACACCAACAAAACACCATCAAGAACCATTGAAACAGGCAAAACCGAATGGTGGATTAGCTCTTGGGCTGGGTCCACTTCTTCCTCTGCTTTCCCATGCCGCTCCACTCACTCCATCGCTTTATGAGCCATGAAAATCGCTCTCAAAAGTTCATCCAAGTCAGAATTTTCTCACCATAAGACTAAGGAAGCAGTAGAAGCCAACTTTAAACTAGAACATACCCCTCATGCCTAGTTTAAAGACTAACTCCTTCTCTAATGTACCCATCTATCTCTACATCCCAACTTTATAGATATAATGTATCAATATCTTACCTTATTATTTAAATAAGTTTGTTTTGGGAAGGTTAGATCTTTACAACAAAACCAAAATATTGGAAAGATAGATAGATTAACTTCTACAGATACTATCTATCAGATACTTTCTAACCTTTCTTCTATTGCATACAAACTCACAGTCACAAGTATGATACCCTTATTTAGGGTATACACGTGTTAAGCACCAATTGCCCTTTTTGTAAAAAAAAGTGGTGCAAAACTTAACTTGGAGCAATCGAATGCAAATGTATTACATATCAAAACCTGAATGAACATACCTACATACATATGCTACATACTATATGTAAAACTGCCCAAAGCTTGTGATTAAACATTTTGCAATAATAATAACAACAATATATACCCACAAATAAAAACAAAAAACAGAAATACGATAAAAGAGGTTCATTCACCTTGCTTTTAGTTAGCTCACAAGTTTTGACAGTTGTTTTGTGCTCTTGCTTCGCTTTTTAGGGCCGACTTTGTCTGCTCTTTATCTCAAACTTTTCAAATGTAACGAATACCTGACCCACAATAAGCTAACCAAAGAGGGGACCGTGGATGAAATTTCGCACGCTCAAAAGCTTTTTATAAAGATATTTTCGGGTATCTCATTTTTAGAAGTTTTTTAGTCATTTCAATATATTGATAAATAAATACTTTTATTAAATGATTTGGGATTCATCGACTGAAAATTATTTAAAGTACATATAATAAGTTTAAGTTTTAAACGGTTTAAAGTTTTTACTGAACATATTAAAAAACCACCTGTATACGATCCTAAATATTTTTAGCTAAAACCTTTATTTATGAATTATGCTCAGATTTATATATAAACATATGAAGAGATTAAAAACTTGGTTAATTTTTTTTCCTTTTTTTTTAGTGTTGAACTTAGAAGTGTTGTCATTGTGTAGTCACTTTGGTGGTAACACCGCACACATTTAGCGAATAGTATGATGCACGTACATATGCAACGAATAAATCTCTTGCCTTTAATAACAATCAAGTCAAGTGGCTGGGGTCCCTCGCGCTAACAGTAACTAAAAAGTACAGTTGGTTTTTGTAAGAAAAGTGGCAGCAGCATTCAGGCTACATTCACAGAGCCAAGTCCGTCACTCAGCGCGCGCGGTCCAAAAAGAGGCAAAGAGCAGCCCGAAAGGAGAGACAGCAGCGGCAATGGAGGTGGAGGAGGCTAAAGAGGAGGTGGAGGCAAGAGACGACAAGAAGCAGAGCAGAGACAGATGGGCGCAGCAGCAGCAGCAACACTCGCACACAGCCCAGGCCGTACGGACGTACATAAAAATGGTAATAAAATAGGCAAAGTAACAGCAGCGGCGACGGCAGCAGCTGAAGAAAAAAAGAAGAAGCACAGACGCGGACAAAGGCTGAAAAGCCACACACAGTTTTTCGGAAAAGCCAAGAGAGCCACCAAACCAAAACGAAACTCAACTCAACGCACACAAACACAGTCTCTTAGAGAGAAGTTTGCTGGGCAAAAATTACAAACACGTCGCAAGCTTTTTAAATGTGTAACGGTACATTTATGGCATGTCCAATTGGCATTAGAGATGAGTGTGCCGATAGAAGCGTCAGAAGTCAATCCCATAAATTGCCCGGGAGTTGCTCATCGGTAATGACCTCTAACAAACAAGACCTAAAGATATATGAAATCTTAATTTTTAGGGTAAAAACCCCAAAAATGCATTACATTTAAAAGGTATTCAGCAAGAAAGTCATCGATTACCATTTAAAATTGCTGCCGAACGAATAGAGGACTTTGTTTACAGACAGCTGCTTGATCTCGAATGAAAATTCAATTATTATAAGAATATTATTATTTTTATAGTAAATGTAAATAGTAATTATTCAGTATGCGGTTGTTACATATTAATATTTTAAATTGTATATTCAAGAAAAATTACGGAAGTGGGAAAATTATTAAAATCGGCGCTTAATCAGCAACTTCAAGCACCAAATCGGTGGCGATGATTCCATCTCTAATGCGTGGACGACGCACAATGGGGCCCGCGATGACGTTGCAGAAAGCAAGGCCAGAGAGTCCGGAGGAGCAAAGTAGGGGCCAAGTAGAAATGTCTAGTGGTGGCCTGCCACAAGCCCTGACGCCATGTTTCCCGCTAGAATTACCAAAATTATAAAAAAAAAAAAAAAAAGGAACACACACGCTCACACACAGGCAGATACGAGTCCTGACCCGATTATCG